TATATGAATATGAATATCAAATCATTATAGTTGATTTATTCACTACTAGTGAACAAATGGATATTCATTCATGAAATGAATTATGTATAAAGATATAATCTATGCAAAATCACACTGGTATTGAGGATAGGATAGGATAGGATAGGATGAGGCGGGTACACAGGTACTAGGTAGGTAGGTAAGTGAGTAAGCTTCATCTGGGATCCTATTACTTATACTGAGTATACTAGGTACATATTGGGGATGGACACAATAGAATTGTCCAATCAAATCAAATCCACAGTGTACCTGCCTGTCCAATTTTGCGGGGAAGGGGGATACCTAGGTACCTACCTAATTCGTGGTCTGGGGTATTGTATTGTATTGTCCATCAAATGCTGATCTTGGTAACCAATGGATATATCATATATGTACTTGAGTACTGTAGTTTATATTATAGATAGCCAAATGGTAGCATTATCTGACTCGGTATTTGCAATTTATGGCGGGCAATTACAGTAGCAAGTTGGCTATTATTACCTAGGTCTGTCTGTCTGTCTGTCTGTCACGGTCACATCATCTAGCGATATGGTTTGATATGATTTCAGATTTTCTTCCTCCTGCTTATATATACTCGAGTAATACGATAGATCTTTGGATTATGTATGTATATATACTAGAGTATATGGAGAATATATATCGTATGGAAACACTCATGGGTTAGTTACTCATTCCTCATCACTTATCCATCAGATCGTGACATGTTTTATTTGATACAGTATGAAGTCTCGTTTTCGCAATGACCTTGAGCTGTTTACTGTTTAAACTCAGATAGTATTTATAATACCCCTACGGACACTTCATATAGGCAAATTCCCTATGTATAGGCAATGAAATGCATTTAGATATATTGAATAATTGTATTGAGATTTGAATTATAGCTTAAATCTAATATAAATTAGTTAGTTTTTAGTTCGATATAGCTTCATTCTTTTCATTCTAAATCAGTGATTTCAATTGTTTATATAAACGATTAAGGGTTAGCGACAATAAGGATGCGATGAATCGATGACGAGGAGAGAGTGGCAATTGAGAAATTGAGAGGCCCGGGAGAGAGTGATCATCGATATCGGAGGACTTTTTAGCTTCAAATCTCAAAAGAGGTCTTGAGCAGAAAAACAAATAAATTCTGATGAGATTGGTAATATCCTTGATTATATTCGCTTGGATACATTGCCTTAATTGGATCTAGAAGTTCTGAGAACGCTATTGGATATCTAAGTCTATTCAAGGAAAATATAGATATTTCATTCTTCTATAGCTACTCTGATAGATGAAATGAAACCTCAAAACTATATAAATCATCTAAGCTTAAATTAGAAATTAGAGTATCTAGCCACTCAATGCTGCTGGATTCATTACATTGAAAAGAACTGATTCGCCTATTCTACATAGGGAATTTGCCAATCCTATGTAAGTCTATCCGGGTACAGAGGTACCTCGGCATCCCTCGCCAGGTTTGGGGGTTCCTTTCCCTTTGTTATATAATATATGAGTCTTTCAACCCAAAGAAGTAAAACCTCCACAAAATATTTCCTAGATACTCGTATATCTTTTCGTACAATTCATACGAATCATTCAATTTCCTTTCATTTCTTCAATGGATCCTTCAGGAGCAGGAACATGTGCTCAAATTGCTAGGCAAGATAGTAGTCGAAAGACTGATGATGAGGATCACCCGCCAGGTTTGAATTTATCGGGTGGCGTGAAAACATTCGTGCCGGTGGATGCGGAGAGGCGGATATCACGAGAACAGCGAGGATGGAGGAAGTTGGTGAGGAATTTTACTCCTTCGTATGTTATACCTATACCATTCTGTACATATCATACAACGGAAAAATACACCCTGTCATCTCAAAGTCGAGATCTTCCCCTTCCCTTTTCACCACTTCCACTCCCACCTTAACCTTAGCCTTAACCTCTCAACCCCCAACCAAACAATCCTCTAACATACCCACCCCCAGCTGGTTCTCCATAACAATGGGCACAGGCATCGTATCGATCCTCCTCCACAATCTCCCCTACAACCGCCCCTTTCTAAAATACATCTCCATCGCCATCTTCATTTTCAATATATTCCTCTTCGTCACATTCCTGTGCATTTCGCTTTTGCGCTATATACTGTATCCTTCAATATGGAGGGCGATGATACGGCATCCCGCGCAGTCGTTGTTTGTGGGTACGTTCCCTATGGGATTGGCGACGATTGTTAATATGGTTGTTTTTGTGTGCGTGCCGGTTTGGGGGACGTGGGTGGTTTATTTGGTGAGTTTGGGATAGATTGAAGAGGAAAAGGAAAAGGAAAAGGAAGAGGAAGAGGAAGAGGAAGAGGAAGAGGAAGAGGAAGAGAAAAAGAAAAAGAAAAAGAAAGAGGAAGAGGAAGAGAAAGAGGAAGAAGAAGAGATGATGGAAAGTAGCTAATGATCTGTGTGTTTGTGGTAGGCTTGGGGTTTATGGTGGATTGATGTGGTGATTTCCGTAGCAACTTGTTTTTACCTCCCCTTTGTAATGTACATTCCCCTCCCCTCCCCTCCCTTCTCCAGCATATCCTCAACCAACCCACCACCCAACCCAACCAACTAACCCCCCCTAGAATGTCCCACCACAAAGTCGACCTCTCAACCATGACCGCCACCTGGCTCCTCCCCATCGTAGCCCCCATCGTCGCCTCCGCCAGCGGCAGCATCGTAGCCTCTGCCCTCCCCAACCCCCAGCACGCCCTCTGGACCCTCCTAACCTCCTACATCCTCTTTGGCACCGGTTTTCCGCTTGCCATGATCATACTCGCAATCTACTTCCAACGCCTCACCATCTACAAGATACCCCCGCGCGAAGTAATCGTCTCCGTCTTCTTACCACTCGGGCCTCTCGGCCAAGGCAGTTTCGCCCTCCTCAACCTTGGAAAAACATCTCTCTCCATCCTCCCTACCACACACACTCTTCCTCTCGCCGGTGTCTCCCCGGGCCCGGGGCCTATCCTATACACCCTTGGCTTTATCCTCGCGCTCATTGTCTGGGGCTTCGGCCTCATCTGGCTTTCTTTCGCACTAGCCTCCATTGCGCGCTCGCGCTTTCCCTTTAATATGGGATGGTGGGGTTTTACATTCCCGCTTGGGGTTTATGCCGTCGCGACGGTGACTATTGGTTCCGAACTACCGTCGACGTTTTTCAACATTTTAGGAACGATTTTTAGTATATGTGTTACGGGCTTATGGATGATGGTGGCGGTGGGGACAATAAAGAAGGCGTTGTGGGGGGGTTTGATTTTTGCGCCGTGTTTGAAGGATGCTGAAGAGGCGGAGAGGGAGGCGAGAGAATGTTTTGAGGAGAAGAGGAGGAAAAAGGGGGAGAAGGAGGAGAGTAGGAAGAACGTAGGTAAAAATACAAATGAGAATGGGCAAGGGGATGCACAGAGGAGGATGGAATTTTCTCCGGAGGATTCGAGTCTGGTTTGAGCTTTAGCAAGCGCTTTCTTGCATCTTTTCATGAGTGAATGGTCGAGCATTTCTGTGGGTGTATATCAGTCTTTTGGTCTTAGAATATGCTTATACCCAGTAATCCATTTTAGCAAAGAAATTAAAATTCTTCGTCTGTCTAAGAAGATCTATCTACGGGAATGTATGCAACGCTAACTTCATCTAGAAAGAGGCAACTGTACCATGCTATGCATATATGCTGGGAACGGGAAACCAAAGGTTGTACTTCGGCAACATGAATGGGATATGCACAAAGTTCCTCCCATATCCTCTCATTTCCTTTTATCACCATTTTCCACCCCTCGGACAAAACCATTTTCCTGGCCATAACAACCCTGAAATTCCCATTTCTATCAAAATCATCCAAAATCCATCATTCATCATCGTAATGTCGTTTTCAGACTTGGAGGTTCTTGCCGAGAATCTTTGCAAGATCATCGACATCTTTGTCCTCTCTTTGTGCGACAGGTTCTCCTTCTTGGGCTTCTTCTGCATCGTGAATCAATTGCTCTCTCTGCTCCTCGAGTTCTTCCTCTTCCTCTTCCTCACTTTCCTCGTCGCTCTCGCCTTCTAAGTCTTCCAACTCGTCTAGACCCCAATCATCCTCAAGTACCAGATCACCTGCCAATCTCTCCTTTCTCTCTTCCAACAACTCCTTCAACTCCATGATACAGTCATGATCCTCATCGAATTTATTTCCGTTCAACTCAATCTTCTTCAACTTCGGTAGGGCCTCCTTTGCAGCAGTCGTGAAGACTTGTAGACCCTTTACCCCGATATCATTGAACTGTAACCTCAAAATCTCCAATTTTTCGTTCTTACCCTTTTTCAACGCCTCGGCGAAAATGACACTTCCTTTCCCGCCCAACAACGAATCTCCTATTCCCAACTCCTGAATGTTCGCCCATCCTCCCACGACTTTAGCCAAAGCCTTCGAACCCGTAATGGTAAAGGTGTTGTCCTGCAAATCTAAAATTTCAATCCCCTTTGCATATTTCAAGCCCTCACTTAACAAATAACTAATTCCCTCCTGTCGGATACCATTCTGTACCATCTTGACCTCCTTAACACCAGTATGCAAGCTATACGCCTTCGCCCAGGCAGTCATACTTCCATTTTCTAATCTATTGCGTCCACAAATGACAGTCTCCAAATCCGGAACCTGTTTTCCTGTAGCACGTGCTTGGATTTTCTTCGCGTGTAATTCGCTAAGTGCGTCTGCGATCAAAATGCCAGCATGAGGTCCCAGTCCGTTATTATTAAGGATGAGATGTTGAAGCGGGATGTGCGAGGAAAGGAATGCGACAAGCGGGGCTTGAGTATTAAGTCCAAATGCATTATCATTGAGATTGACCGTATGCAGATTCGGAAGTCTGAGTAAAGCAGTAAGGAGGGAGGAAAGAGCTTGTGGAATTTCGTTGAGCAATCGACCAGTAAATATATCCGCCAAATTTGCAATCTTGACTCAGAAGTTAGCAATTATATTCGACCTTCGTTCATGCGTCCAAAGTACCAATTTGGGGAGATTGAGAAAGAAACTGATTGGAAAAGGACCGGCCATACCTTCAAATTGGTTTTCTCCCCCAAAACCTCACCAATCACCCTACAAGCCTCCACGCCCAAGGTATTTCCCAAAAACCTCACTTCTTCTACATCTTTCATCTCCCTCAGCAACCTAATATGCGGCTCCACATCCGCGGCGGAATCCAACTTCAATCCCTTCCCCTCCAATGAGAATATTTTTGTTGTAATAGTCATCTTGAGTATCGACGTTGCGCAAATCTAGAATGTTTCGAAAACGATAGTAAAAAAATGAATTTTTGCAGGTAAAGAAGTCTAGTTTGCAGATTGTGGAAATTGACGGATGCGGCAATATTTTGGTGGTGGGGGTTGATGCAGGTCAAGAAAGCTAATTTCGATTATATGGTAAGCAAGCCTCAACATCAGCCTCATCTTCAGCCTCAGCCTCAAATCGAATCGGATAAACTTTGATCGGCAGTTTACGGCCGCCTCCGGAATTATATCGTGATGTAATCGAGCTTGGGATTTCTGGAGCCTTTCTTACAAATACAAATATAGTACTGTACTCATATTCAACGAAGAACACAAGAAATTGAGAGGCAAAAATATAAATTTTGGTGTACATGTACTATTTACAAAGCCTCGTAAAAGACGATAGTCGACATATGAACATGTCATCATCTGCAATCAGCATGCGTATGTCTTTTCCCCTTACCTCCGACTTCCTTGTCCCCCAATTTTGAGTGAGCAAGTTACTGATTTCGAAACTAGCTACATCGGCCACCAGCGCAAATATGGCCGCAGATCCTAAACCAGCTGGAGAAGCTTCAGCAAAACCAAAGGTATGGGGCCCCCTTCCTCTACATATCTCACAAGTTATTAGAACATTAACTAAGTCGATTTCCGAAAAAGCCGTGCTGCGTCTGTAAAGATGAGAAAGCTGCTCGAGACGAATGTATGCTGTTCAGCACGGCCAAGGAACCACAAGAAGCTTGCGCGAGTATGGTCGACAAATATAAGAGTTGTATGGCTGGTTTTGGGTTTATTTTACCCTGAACTAAGGATTGGAATGGTGTGTACGATATACAAACGAATTACAATGGAGTTTGGACATAGCAGTGGCGTTACAAGGGCGTTACTATGGGTTAAGAACGGACAAGTAGGAAAATTCAAGAAGGGCCACGAAGAACCTCTCAACTCTATATGTGGGTAGATCACATGTGGGAAACATGTTTAGTCTTATAATATTGTACATTTCTACACACATAATCGTAAACCGCGGACGAAGACCATCCCATTATAGATGAATTTTAAACATGTTCAATCCCACGCTTATACCGAACGCCTCCCCTTTCCAATTGACCCCCGTTTAGATTTTTGGTATCATAATCCTGCAAGCACACTTTGAACTCCCACGCTTCCTGAATCGTCTCTCTTCAATACAAAAGCTTTGAAGTCTGCCTTTTGCAACTTCTTGCTGGCCCCACTAGCAAGTACAGCTCTCGATTTTTCTTTGAGAGCTTCTGCCCCAACGATGAACAAATTACCAATGTCGATGAGGACCTCAACTTCACTAGTGATATCTTTCGTTAATGGCCAGTCTTTCAGAGCGGACACATAGCTTGAAATGTCTTTTGTAACCATCAAAGCACCAGTGGCATTCACTTGAAACTTTTTGAAGTGTTCGAATAGCATGTCTCGAATGCTGATCGCGAGATCACAGCTGAACGCCTCAAGGTTTTGTCCATCGACAGCTTGCGCGGCGAGTTTAGCCACACGCTGGAGGAGGTTGCAAATAGCTAGACAGGTCGCAGTTTGTAAAGTTTCAATCGATCCAAGATCACTATCCTTCGGTCGAAAATCTGTTTTCTTCTGATTTGCCAACAACCTTGTCATCCAGTTCAGTACCACTGTAATGGTACTGCGCATGATATCATTGGCCTTCTTTTCAATTCTCTCCACACTTGTTTTGGTTTGTGACTCCATTGCACGTCGAACTGTGGTATTTGATTCTGCAAGTCGTATGAGTACTGTATTGATGAAGCGTGACATAACGTTTGTGATGATGACAGCCGGCTGCACCGAAGGAAGGTAGGCCAAATCAGGCTCAGTCTTGACGTTCTCTTGAGCGGCAGCTTGATCGGCAGCAGCCTCAAGAGCTGTTTCGATATACACCTCACCCATGCTACTCAGTAGGAGATTCAGAAGAGCTGAGACATCTTTAGGTGTGTCACTTCCACTTCCCATCTCCAAAGCTCGGCGCACACCTTCTGCAAGCCACTTAAGCATACGTTTAGCATTTGCGACACTGATCACACCGTCTTCGTCTGTAACTTCAATCTCGTTCTTATTATTATCAAGATCCCTAAGTCCAGCAACACGTAACATCATAGCCTTCTGAGTGGGGGTAAGCTCCGATGAGTCAAGACGATCGATGTACGCATCCTTCGCCGACGATAAAAGTTGACTACCCTGTTGGGCCAAAGAAGCCATAAAACCTGTTGGAACCTTCTTTCGCCGTGAGTGGTAGATAGTGAACTTGAAGAGTAATGAAGAAAAGAGTTCTTCAAGACTTTTCCTCTCTCGATCAATGTACGAATTCCCAACCAGATATGGGACGAATAATTCATCTAATTGCTGATCTAGACTTTGTGCGGTTTGAGCTGTACAAGGTTCGGGATGCTCCGTGAGACCATGTGCTTTAAGGTCTTCGATTAAGCTATTAATATAAGTCCTCGAGGCATGTAGTGACCTGAGGAAGGCTAGAGAAGAAATAGTATCCGCCTTTTCAAGAACCATCTCTAGACGCTGCTGAATAGATTGCTGAAATATGCGTTGGATAAATTTGATGAGGACAACCTCATAGAATGGAAACGCCCGCTTAATAATGAAAGATTCCTCTTGCATGACAGCTCTGATTTCGTCAATAAGTGACTGCAAGCTAGGTTCGACTCCCGGAGGTTCAGAGTCAGGGTCGGCCAAAATTTCCCATGTCTCATTGTCGGTTGTAACTTCTTCTGCAATGAGTTGACTTCTGTCGATGAAGAATTGATGCTGATTAACAAATGTACCAATGACACTAGATCCACCGTTGAAGTCATGTAGGACCTTTGCACACTCGAGCATATCGTCGAAGTTCTGCCGTCGATAACTGTTATCAAACTGTTTCAACAGGTCTTTTTCCAAAGTCTCCGAGAACTTCTCTATAATTTCCCTCGTATTATGACCTTTGTGTCCAACAACACCATTGGTAACTCCGTTGACCTTTTTCGAACCATTGGCCCAAGATGCCGGATCCAGTCTCTGGCTCATGCGCATGAGCTGCCTGGCAATGACAGCAGATCTAACCTTGTTTTCCCCTCCACCTTGCCGTCTAATCATATCCTCTAAAGATATGAGTGATCCGTTTTCGCTAACTTCTATCCAGCATTGTATTAAAAAGTTGGCATCCATCGCACGTCGTCTCTGCTTATCTAGGTCCTCCAGCCTTTCTCCAATTTGGACCGCAATATTACCCCCCGCCTCCGGCCGACCATAACGATCCGTATTTGCGCCATTCGTACCAGTAGGATTGTTGAGTGCTATATCGAGCGATTCAAAAGAGTCAATTGACTCATCCAGTTTGCGCCCTAAAGTATCTAATGTTTGATCATGTTGTACCTCAGCCCGTCGAACAGATGTGAGGAGGTCCGTTTCCTTTTCCTCTAAATCGTCTGAGAGTGTTGCAAGTTGTTGTAATGCATCTGAATTCTTATCAGCATTCGAGGATATAGATCTTTGAGAAAGTGAGTATTCCTACTTTCGAATGTCCTTATGAATGGCTTTGGATCGAAAGCAGGTTGAGCTGGTCCAGAACGCCTATTTATCGGGATTGCACTTTCGGACAACTCTTCCACAAAATCTCGCACGATGAAGTCCTTATTTGAAAAGTTCTCCAATGTAAAACTTGGCCCTTTTGGATATAGCGATCTCACAGAGCCACTATTAAGAGAAGCCATAGTTGAAATTCATGAAGCTTGTATTCTTGAAGTGAGTCTACCTACCTACTTGTGGGAACAGTGAGTTGTATCAAGTCGTCAACTAGCAGGCAGGGGTTATCGGACCACGGAACTATCAGCCTCGCTTGAGCCTTGAGGACCCTTAAATTATGGCCTCGTAACGAATTCCAGACTTTCAAGATTCTAGAAATAATTTAGGACACTTCTCTCCACCCACCTTTCTATCCACTACCTACCTTGGAATTTCTTATACTCCTTGTGTCGTTGTCGCCATGGCTAAAAAGTCTAAAGCTCTTGAAGCATACCGCGAAGATGCAAGAGGCGGCCATACCATATTAACAGCAGAAGAACGACGCAAGCTTATCGAGGCAAGTTTTAATTTCGCCCTGTCATCGTTGTGTTCCTACAACTACCCATACCCATTCAATTCATCCGTCCACTTTTTGACGCTGTACCTACCATTTAGCCGTTACTCCCTTCCGACCTTCCATCGCGATCTTCATCAATCAGAAACCAATCCAGGTCCAATTCGAAGTCAAAGCCCAAATCGTCAGCTCCCAAATCCCGCTCTCATCTTGGCATTCGCCATTTTCTTCGTCTTCAATTGCATGCAATTGTATATGCTGTTGTACATGCAATATTTTCACTGTATATCAGGTTGAGACAAGCATATCATGCGGTGAAGGATCGAATTTTTGCGATCTTATTTTATCATCACCGGACGCCAGGGTTGATACAGAAGGATGTGAAGGGCTTAGAGAGATTACCCGAACATGTCAGTGTGATATTGAATCTGGAGGATGGGGCGAGGGGAGGCGCGGGACTAGAAGCCCTGGTCGATGAGGTGGCAGAGATAACAGCATGGTGCGCGTGTGTGGGAATCCCAATGTTGTCAGTGTATGAAAAGACTGGTATGTTTAGAGCGCATGTAAATGTGAACGAGGTAGAGGGCGTGCTAATGAGGAATCTAGGGATACTTAAAGGATATATACCAGCAACGCATCGGGCCGTAGTAAGAAAACTGGCGTCGTATTTCGGACCAGATCATCCAGCCTTATCTTTGAGAGCTCCCCATGTCCCATCTATGGAATCCTCATCAGCTATTTCAACCAGTGATACACTTCCCGGCTCTTTACAACATATTTCGTTGCTGCTTATTTCCAATGAGGACGGTCGGGACTCGCTGGTTGACTTGACAAAAACACTTACAGAGATGTCCCAACGAGGCAAGATCGAATCCAATGATATCAGCCAAGAACTCATCGATGCCGAAATAACAGAAAGCATTATGGGAGAACCAAACCTTCTGATATTGTTCGGACCAACAGTCGAACTGTCAGGATATCCACCATGGCAGTTACGACTAACCGAAATTTTTCACGTTCAAGATAATCACGGAGTTGGATATCAAGTATTCTTGCAAGCTTTATATAATTATGGTAACGCACAGATGAGATTCGGAAGATAGGTTAGATGTCATTATAATACGAAAGCGTGCAATTTGGAATGGTGGTTGAAGTTTACTTCCAAGCAATCCAATTATGATTTTTTCCATATTCTCATTTCTTTCAGGATGTTATCCCATTTATACATAGTTCCAGTGCCGACGTTATAATTGTAGTAGTTTTCCGTCCCACCTTTTGTCATAGCACGTCTGAAGGTAATGTTGATTCTCCCCCCATCATCTGCATTCTTTCCTGTTCGTTTTGGAATGGAATGGAGCCAATTTGCTTGTGTTCTCCCTCGCATCAATATCATGTCCCCGCTTGCAAGTGGCAGCTTAACAGGTTTTGTTTCCGGCGGAGGAGGAGAATTATCATTTGGTGGGATAGGTTTGTGCTTCATGAGAAAATCTCTCCTTGCTCCAAGCGAGAAACTTGCAATAGCTGGTAGAGGACCTAAGAATCTTTCGTCGTCGCTATGGTATGAGATCGAATCTGACCCGGAGGCATAATAGTTGACGAGACAGAAATTGAACTTGCAACCCGTTGCAGCTTCGGTGGAGAGTCGTAAATCGTCTAAACATTTGGGGATTGGTCGAGGGGGATATTTGGTATAATATCTCTCTTTTTCGATTTTCTTGTTGCTATTGACATCGATGACTTCCCCAATATCATTGAACTTGGATGTCTCATCGAGACCAAAAACTGTGGTCCATCTTCTCAAATCTCAGCAGCTGACTTGCATTCGAAAGATGGATTGACTACCTTGGAGTTTTGATATGTGTTGATATACCCCCTCTATTGATATCATATTCCACACGATAGAAAGGCAACTCTAAACGAAGAAATTGGAACACCTGACGCTCGAGATATTTAGGAATATAAGGCTCGAAGTAAAGAAGATCTAAATCCGCTTGATTATTTATCTCTTTGCCAATCGTGGATGGGAGAGATGACAGCTCCAAAGATATAGATGAGGGAAAACACGGTATTGGAAATGGGTATGTTGAGTGACGCGTAAATTCGCGTTCCTTCATTAATTAGTGGCAAAATTAAGGACATTATGTCGTATACTACTTACCGGCTCTTCATCTACTGGCTTCTCTTCTAGAGTCGCCGATTCTGATACTCGAAGCTTTTTTGCTGGCGGTTTGAAAAACGAGTCTATGGTTCTTTTCGCTGCTGACATCTTGAAAGCCAATTCCTGTTGTAAAACTACAACAGTCTAGGTCTGGTCTAGCACAGCATATATCAATAAATTATATTAATCGCCTTTCATGACATCACCGCTTGATTGGATCAAAGCCTTGTACAGCCTTACCACTAGCGTTCTTTCAAGCCCCTCCATCTTCAGCCTTGCGAAATTTATGAGTCCTCACACACAAAATTTCAATCTTCAGAAGAAAATACAAAACGATATGAACTTATGGAGGTATGTTCGCATTCTGTATTATGAGATAGTCTGATTGAAGTTTTATATAGCAATCAACAGTAACATCTCTAACGACCAAATGTCATTATTTCGCCCACCTATCGTGCGCTGGAGCGCAGCCGGAATGCTCGATCGCTCTCTCTTTTCCAAAACTATATCGATTTCTGCAGCAAGACTTATGAACAATAAGGTTATACCGAAATATCGATCGCAATTAGCCATCAGCAAAGAAATCCTGCTGGAAGAGAAAATCACGCTCATTCGACCGGATCCAGATCCAGAATTTGCAGCGAAGGGTGGAAAGTGTTTGCTTTTAAACCCTAGAGTAAAACATGATGGTAACGAACCCGGGTTATTTTAAAGGGGTTCAAGAAGATGTTGATGGTATTCGGTAGATCCTACGACATGGAGTCCGGTTTTACAGGAAGCTGTGAAGGCTCAGGATTTGGGAGTTATTCCATATGATTTGACTTTGAATTATGATCATTGGAATTATAGTATGTAATTCCTTGCTGCCCTTCCCGTATGCATTTACCGGGCCCGGACTAATCTTTACAGTCGAAATCATGAAATCTATCCTTCCCGAAGATGCCCAGGAAGAAATCCCCGTCGGCTTCGCCATCGTTGGGCATGTTGGTATTACTTTCTCCACCCATCATCTTGACCTCTCTAACAAACCCAGCCCACCTCAATCTACATGACGAATTCCTCACCTACAAATACCTCGTTGCCTCCGTTCTCATGGACAAGAATCCCACCATTCGCACCGTCATTAACAAAGTCGACGACGTCGGCGACGTCTCTGTATACCGGACTTTCTCTTACGAAGTGCTAGCCGGCGATGGCAACATGAATGTTGAGATTCGGGAAGGAGATTGTACTTTCCGGTTCGATTATTCAAAAGTTTACTGGAATAGTAGATTACAGACGGAACATAAGCGATTGGTGGATCTTTTTGAACCTGGGGATGTCGTTTGTGATGTTATGGCGGGGGTGGGTCCTTTTGCTTTACCTGCGGGGAAGAAGGGGGTTTTTGTGTGGGCAAATGATTTGAATCCGGATAGTTATGCGGCTATGAAGGATGCGGTTGTTAGAAATAAGGTATGTATCACTCACTTCCCCCAAGCACCTTTTTCTTTTCAAATGATGTGATGATATTACGATGGTCAACATAAACAACCACAAGCTGGGACACATTGATGAGAATGCCCATGGCAAGGCGGTTTCATTCGATTCAATCCTATATACATCTGCTTCATCGAATAACAAAAAAGCTATATCTAACACCCCTCAGGTCCAAAACTTCGTCCGTCCTTTCAACGAAGATGGCCTCAAATTCATTCCCCAAACCGCCGACGACCTCCTCCACCTGGCCTCCACAAATCAAAACGTTATAGCTATAGCCCCCACACGACCCTCTCGCAGCGGCCAAACCCCCACCCAACCCCCCAAAACCCTCACCATTCCCAACACCATCTCACACTTCGTAATGAATCTCCCCGCCACCGCCATAGATTTCCTCCCCGCCTTCCACGGTGTTTACCACACCTCTTCACATCTCTTCACGCCCCATACTGAAGTTAAATTACCAATGGTACACGTCCATTGTTTTGGGCCTAAAAATGAAGATAATGAGGCGGCGAATATCGAGATTTGTGAAAGGGCGAGTGAGAAATTGGGCGTGAAGCTTGTACAGGGAGATGAGTATGAGACGAAAGTTTGGGATGTGAGGGATGTGGCGCCTAAGAAGAGGATGTTTTGTATCAGTTTTAGGATACCGGCCAAGGTGGCTTTTGGGGAGAGGAGGGGATGAAAGATGAAAGATGAAAGATGATAGATGATAGATGATAGATGAAGTTGGGAGAGAGTAGTCTGTAGTGATGGAGAGTTGGAATATAAAAAACTGAATGTAGTAGATACCATTAAATTAGCTACTGTGGCGGCTCCATGTATGATGTATTTAGATATAATAACTGACTGACTCACTGACTACAAAACACATTTAAAGTCAATTCGTAAATACATATTGATGCCAATGAAAAGATGTTCCAATCTAGTACCTACTCTACCTACTCACTCTACTCACTCTACTTTACCTATAATCCTCCCAACTCAGTACTGTATATACCTAGTACATAACATACCAGTCTCTCATACCCAAAAAGTCCCTCCCAATTGATCTACCTACTATAACATATGCAGACTCAATACACATTGCATTTAAGCCTGTTCATATATACATATATACATACTCGAGTATATACATATATACAGATATACCCCCACATTCTAAGTATATACCTAGTATATATATAAAACTCTAAAATTAATTAATTAATTTTTTAGAAAGAAAACCTGTGCATTACATTTACTTTACATGAGAGAAGAGGAGAGGAGAAGAGGGTAGGATAGGATAGGGTAGAGTAGTACCCGGCTCCGGCTTCTACCTTGCCGTATTTGTGGAATGGTTATTGGTTTGTTTATGTGCGTGTTTTATTTACTTGCTTGCTTGTAGCTTGCAGTGCTTGTAGCTTGCAGTACCGAGTTTCTTATTCTTATTGATATATTTGTATATATATATAAATCTTTCGATTTAGGATTGGGGTTAGGGTTGTGGTTGTGGTTGGAGTCGTAGATTGGGATTGAGATGGAGATGGAGATAGATATGGAGATGGTTGGAGAAGATACCGTACTTTACTAAATTACTTTGACTGTTTGAGGGTGCAGATATAGGTACCGGTATAGATACAATTTGGTGTAGGTAGGTGTAAAATGAAATAGAATATTGTGTTACGGAGTTGGAGTTGGAGTTCGAATACGTATTGTATTGTATGTATTGTATGTATTGTATATAATTAAGCTAGCTATTCAATATGAATGTAAAGGAGAGGAGATCCCAAATACAAAGATCACATACCACAAATCTACAAATCTCCAAGTAAAACCCCTCATAAGTCATAAGCAAGAAACAAGATAAAAAATACCAAAAGACCAAGCACCCTTACTGCACTGCACGTATGTGTATTGTATTGTATGCAATAAGTACTAATATATGTGAAATATTGTTGGATATGCAATATACACATGCACATACGCATATACATATACATATGAACATACAACCTGATACAGCAATAGAACAGACATCTAGATTCTACAGTACCGGTATCTATCTCATCTCACCCTATCCTCATCTCATCCTATCCCATCCCACCCCAAAGCAGACAGCCACAGATCCGGGGCCCCATATGTGTAACGCGAAGTACATGCAGGGTACATGTAGTGTGGGGGTTTAAGGGGGGAGGGGGGAAGGAATCGAATACGAAGAACAATTGCGAGTTAATGAACAAGTACCGTGGAAGAAGAGATGATGAACCAGAAAATGAAGTAAGGTTACTGGTGAAGTAAACATTCCGGGTTACGGCAATGTAATGTCTATGATGCCGATGCTGCTAGAGTAGCATTGGGGTTGGCGAAGGGAAGGAGAAGAGAGGAGAGGAGGTGATGTATGGACCGGTATCTACCGTTGGAGTAACATTCCGGGTTACGGCAATGCAATGTCTGTGATGCCGATACTGCTAGAGTAACATTGGGGTTGGCCAAGGGGAAGGAGAGGAGGTGATGCAATGGTGAATGTCTGTGATGCCGTTGCTAGAGTGATAATAAAATTAGGGTGATCAAGGGGAAGGAGAGGAGAAGGAGGTGATGTACCTACCTACCGTTGGAGTAAACAAACCTCTCGGATAACGGCTGTGGTCTTTGTTTTGGGGCTATAGTAACATGCAACATGAAGAGGATCGGGCCATGTGGGATTGAGAGGAGCTGTCAAAATCGGGATCCAGTTGATGGGAAGTCAATTCGGGTTTCGTTTGATGAATTTGAATTTATGACTGTTCCTTTTCAGGGTACCTTCTTCTCCAAGATATAAAACTTTCCCCCATCATTCATGGGGTATGTTTCCACTGCCTGCCCATCCCATCCAAATGTAAGAAATTCCGATTGAAATTTCGAGTCGAGTACCAATTCAAGATTAGACAATCAATGATTTTAAATCAGAAACAATGTTACTCGTATTCCCCTCAATAAAACCATCATTATTCGTTCCCATGAAAAGTAGCTGCAGCACACACTTGCGAGGCTTGCAGACCCAAAACGCCATTCGATATTATGCATGAAATATAGCGTATCATCCCGAATGTACCCGATGCGACCAGAGACGATTTGGGAATGATGTCAGGAGATAAGATTGAGAAAATGCTACTGTATGGGATGTTATGTGTGTGAGGAGATAGGGTTCTCAAGAGGGTTGGGTGCATCAAAGTAAACGGATTGCTTTGCTAAGTCTGTATTTGTGCTTTTGATATCGTGTTTATACAGTACTTGATAATTGCAGACGATCAAAATGAACGTGCAATGTACATACATACAGAGCGGGGTAAAGAAAGGGAACTACCCTCTAAACCACGAACCATTGAAACGTTAAATCCCTCCCTCCCTCCATCAAACCATTCCGTGATACGAAGCCACAACTGCGCCAATGGCTCTCCCTGTCACACACTTCTCGTCCCAAGAAAACGTTTTCACATGGTGGGTCTGATTACCTCATTAGTCAAGCCGATCGCTTACACGCCATTTGGTGATGAGCAAGCCATCCTCTGCCTCTGGATGAAACATAGGAGTGACTACAATACCGGTAACCTTACTCGAGTACTGTACATATTTCCAGTCTTTGATGTTAGATGGGTATGGGTGCATAGACGAGAACTTGGCTACGGATCCCTTTTTGAATAATGGTACGGATAGTAGAGTGATGCTGTACAGTAAGTCGTTACCAGGTGTTCGTAGCACGGCGCAGATGGTGAACTGTTCGTGATGTGATGTGAACGGGTAGCCTGGGTTGGGAGAATCAATCTGCATGGTTTGACACGCCCGATGGTTTGTAAGGAGATCTAGACTTATATTCCTAGATTATATTTGTGGGCGAGGGGTAACACACACTAGACACTGTGACGTGACAGTAGATACTAGGTACTAGGTAAAAACCGGTACTAGGTATCTACATACCACTCACTACCCTTCGAGCCAATGATATTGGGATAATGAAGAGGTTTTGAGATTGACCATTCAGGAGATGAACAATAAATACAATTGCCATGATTGATGACAACATTAAGACAAAGATAGATAAAAGATAAGGCGTAAACACATTAATATGGAAGAAATGACAAGAACCTTGCTCTTGCATCTAGTTGTGGATGGGTACTGAAACTACTGATACTACTGAATAGCTTCATCAAACCAAATGATTGGCCAATTACCCAATACACTAAAATATCCCCACTTCACTATAGAAGAGTCCAGACCATTATAGCCATTTTGATATTTTTATGCAATCAGATTCATATGCAATGATATCCTGCTTTGACCTAAACGCTTGCGCCATAAATGAGATTTTATTTTGGTAGACTCCATAATTCGGCCGGATAAATTACTCACAGAGTCACAGCTACCTACAGCTGAGCCCTTGTACGGGATACCTCTTTGAGATATCGGACGGATTTCAATTTCTGTTTTTAAATCACCCTACCGATAACCCGATACCCGATATTTTCAAGGCCGTGAATTTCTCTACGAGTACTATAATACGAGCTTTGTCTCAATCTGGGGGGAAATCTGCCTCTTGAAGTTTGGCCCTTTGTCTTTGTAAGCTGTTAAGGTGTTATGATGTTTATCGCTGACTCACGTTTGACTACTAGAATAAGTTGTTAGATTGGTAGCTCTCGCATTTCCTGCACAGGCGGCAACGGGTGGTGAATGAAATCCTGGCATGAGAGTTGGTGGATTAGTTTGATTCTAATCTTGCATCGAGGTGCAGTATAAAAATATAGCTGCTTCTACTACAGTACTTGGTAGTTTGACTTCTGGCACTTCTCATGATTGGATATTCGGTTACGTTGTCGCTTGCTTCTGATAACCGATGAGCTGTACCCGAATAGCATGTGAAGCACTGTACTGTCTGTACTCGAGTAGAACTTTCGGTAAAGTAATAGCAGCATTTTGTGTAGAAGTGAAATCTCTAGATGCCATGGTGTGGAGATTGCCGACCATGGAGAAGTCGAAGACCAATGTTCAAGCTTTGCGGGGGTCATGAGTTAAATTTGGAGCCCTATTTTGGAATTGTGGTATAGATAGTACCTGTGTATCACCTCCTTAGCAACACAGCATGGTGAGGTTTAATAATATAGGGAATTTAATAGTTGCCGCATGCGGTAACATGACTAATAAATGCATATTGACAGACTCCCCATTTTGGGGTCTTATTGCTTTTCAGATTTTGACCTTTTTGAATGCCTCATTCGTGCCCATGCATGTAGAAGAAATAGTCCTAAATCTGGAAATAAGAAATCAGTTACTACTGAGAAGTGTAATTCGAAGCAGCTAGTGAGCCATGCCATCGCAATGACCTGTGGCGTTTTGACTTCAACAGGACGGGGATTGATCCCGAGTTGGTAGTTAAAATTAGACACACACAGCAATGCTAGCCTTGAAGTCTCTTTGATGTTATTGAGTGATCATACATACAATTGAGATCCTACACGGCGTTGGATTTTGAAAAGGTTTCGTAAGTTGCTTGAAGATTGGATGTAAGGGTTGATCGTCCGAAAGTATCAAATGAAGGACAACAATGCATGTCGGCTCGGAATATTCATCGTTGATCGTTGTGTGCAGTAGTCCAACCGCTACTGTACAATAAGTTCTCGCACGATGATGACAGTGCTGACAACGATTGAAGGCCCCTTAGCGGTGCAGCTACAAGAGTGCATATCTCTTGGAAAAGACGATCTCCCGTTCAAACCCAATTTTCTATCAGTAGACTACGTGTGAGAGAGATTCTTAGATTCATCAGCTTCCAACTACCGATAAGCGTGATGGTGGTGGGATTGTGGAGAGAATCAGGGAGGAATTGTCTGTTTCTACTATCTACAGTATCAGCGAATTTATGAAATCATCGAAGCAGAACTTTCTGAAACGACTGTTGTACAATCTCGCCGAGCCATCAAGGAAGGTACTCATTAGACTTTAGTCCCGTATCGATATATGATCGCGTCAAGTCTGGAGATAGCCGACTTCCTAACTTTCTCTTGCGCTGTCAAAGCGGATAAACAGACTATTCCGAGATTGGGCGATTGCGTGTTCATCTTCAACCCATTGTGATCCGCAAGCAAGCGTGAATACTGGCATATATTATGCTTGAAGACGTGATGAAATATTAGGGCTGGCATATGCAGCGAATTCCAAACCAAGATTGAAAAAGTCTAGAAAATGCTCGAGATTGAGAAAAAAAAAAGTAATAGAATATGGATTCTTTCTACTCGCTCTCAGGGGTTATTTATAAAGAAAGAATGGACCATCACCTTTCATGGGGGGTAGTTGGATTTCTAGTGGCAATGGTAAAGAGAATTTTCTCTCCGAGCCACCCAGCTTACGCCGCCTGTAGCCCGTGATTTTTCGGCGTTGCTCCGTCTCCATTGTCCAATGATCCCCACACCGTTCCGCAAAGTGGGAAGGAAGAAGATGTGAGTGGCTGATGGAGCATGGGGGTCAACTTGACAACGCCTTGATTGTTTACGAAGTATCTACTTGAAATGCTCGGTCGTCGTCTTTGCTTTCTTCGTATTGAGAACCAGCTTAACTCGTAGCATGATGGGTGGTTTTGGTGTTGTCGTTTTTTCAGATTCAATGGCGACAGAAGTCAACGGCTTTAATGACTCGGCATAGCGATGGTTAGACTTCACTTCCACCATGCCGGTCTGGAAGGATTGATCTGCCCTAGTTTTATTGCTTGTAAAATACTAGGATATAAAATATAAGAGGCGTAATCATACAGAATTACAGTATACAGCAGGTAGTAGTTGTTTTTAGAGGAAAGTAACAAAGCATCCCAAAACGTATATGTCAAAGGGCAAGTTTAATAGAGTCCCAATGTCTAGTGACCATAGTGAAATGCACGCTCGCATTGCTCAGGCCTAGATACACAGACTGAACCCGTCCCATCTATTGGAATCAATTTCAAACAATGAATATAAAAATAACATAGTATAGCATTTCTTTTCTTTTCCTCAACTATTCAAGGTTCTTCAAGCATTGAAAGTGCATAGCATCTTTTATAGAATTTATCAAGTAAAGTATCTGTAGAGTATAAGGCTTACGATTGAAGTAACGAGAGAGGCAGAAAGAAGTTTGGAATCTTGTCACGGTTGATGGGTGAGGTATAGGTAAAGCCTTGGGGGGTCTAAAATATACTCCATAATTGCCCTGCCGGTGGATTTCTTGGGTTTCCCTGTCTCAGATCAGGTAAATTAGATAAGGAATGTATTAATGAATAAAATGATAATAGAAAATAAATACCACTAGAATGATAAAAAATAAGAATAATAAGTCAGGTGGTAAAAGAAAGGAATTCCAATTGTTTACGAGAAATGAATTCAATTACCTATAACCTACTACACTGTAGTATATGATTCAAACAATACTGTACTACTTATTATACATACTCGGTATTACGTCTCTACTCTCTCTCAAATACTCAGCTAGTAGGTAATAATCATAGGTTAGACCACTTTTTCGCCATCATTAAGAGCCTTTCAGCCAAGTTTCCAATCCCTACCTATAACCTATTGACCTAACCCTCCGTATACCTACTACCGATTTAATCACGCTTTTTAACTTTAACCCACTCACACGGTCACACCCACTCACACCACTCACAACTCGCATTCAACACACTCAATAAACCCTACTCACATCTACAACCCCTACCTACTACTACCTACCTACTTTACAACCCACCTTTATCTCAAAATTCCACATCAAAAAGCCAACTCCACGAAGTCTAAGTTCAAGTCCAAGATTCCAGGTTCCAAGGGTCGAGAACTTCTTAACTTCTCGTCTACTCGAAGAAGAGTCTAAAACCCTCAACTTCACCTCAATCAATTCTCCATTCCCCATCCCATTCTCCACATTCACTCGTTTCTCATCCCTCTACTCTACCGGTACTCTACTTTACTCTACTCTACTCAACTCAACTCAATTCAACCCAACTCAACTCTACTACGCACCTACAGACTTAACACTCACACTCACACTCATACTCATACTCATACTCGCACTCATAACCCTGGTCTTTCAATTATCGAATCTTTACTTATCGAACAACCTATCAACAATTGAAAGTCCCTACCAATTGTCACAAAACTTATCTTCCACTCAATTCATTTCTCTGCACTCAATTGTTCCCTGTTCATCTTCCTCTACTCGTACCGATCTTACACTTAGTACCAAATCAATCATACATTCGCAAACAACCTTCACAAAATCTTTGACAAAGGTTTTATGATTGATACCATACTTACTACTATACAAGTATTGGGACAACGAAATAGGAAATCACCAAACTTAGAAATAGTACAAAGGTCAAACGAAGAGGAGGACGTCTATCTCGAGTACGGGTCGTCCTGACCTTAGACCTCATATTCCGCCACCAATCAACTCAACTTTTACCACCGTAAGGTATTATCGCAAAAATGGCGGTAGTCCTCAATTCGGAAGAAAATACCTACTTTTCGTCGAGTCCTCTTCGTCGATCACATTCACAGCCCAAATTCGTCACACAACCGTCGTCATATTCAAAAACTCTATCTCGATCAAATAGCGCAAAATTCAACCCGATAATATCTCCTACTAATTCCTCATCGTCTTCGGCACCATCTTCTCCACGAACCCTGCATGCCGATTCCGTCTCTCCCTCATACTCATCAACGCCAGCCAGCAGTTTGTCGCTTGATCATTGCGACGACGAGGATGATGAAGATCAGATCTCCTTCCCCACCTATGACGATGTAGGACACTGCGATCAGATTGAAGATCTAGAACCACCCGCCAGCCCACATACCGGCGATTCCTATAGCGTTTCACCAACCTCAAATAGCACTTCTACCATCTCTCGATCCGGGTCTCCCGACGTACCGCACGCACATGCCGAGGATGATACAGCATTACAAGCGAAACCCTCGAGGCACGTAGATTACTTATCACACAATTGGAAAGAAGAGGATATATGGGCATCGTGGAAGCTTATTGTGTCAAAGACGGGCGAATATCCTAACCATGAACGATTAGAAAATGCTTCGTGGAGAACTTGGATGAAGGCAAAGTATAGGTTGAAGACAGTTTCACCAGAAACACTCAATTGGTAAGTTTTGACGATCCACTTGCCACCAATGTGATAAGGTTGGAGAGAAGAGTAACTAACATTTTATAGGTTGAAGGATTGTGATGTAACATGGCTATATGGTCCACTTCAATACGGACCGACCATGTTTAATGCTCCGGATACCTCCCCTGTCAGCAGCAGCAGCAGGTTATCAAAATCAAATTCGTTTCTACAAAAGAAGACAATCCTCAAGAAACGAAGCATGTCCGAAATAATGCTGCAGAGATCGTTATCATCATCATCATTACTCAAGCAGGCGGCCGCTGCAGTCCAGGCACAGCAATCTGGAGATTTACAGCGCCCTGGTATCACTAGAGCTGCATCCGATTACGTTCCGTATGAATTTGCGAGTAGGCATGTAGAACAAGCTGACATGAGTCTGCTTTCATCGGTTACATCATCCGGACTAATAACCCCGGGCACTGAAAGGAAACACATCAGTTTTAATGAACAGGTATCGCAATGTATAGCTTTAGATATCAAGGGCGACGACGACGATGAGCCGGACTACAACACTCAAGACTTTGACGATAGTGACTCGGACGATGGAGCCATCATGATGAAGAGAAGCACTTCTAAAAGACAGCTTCCACCAATGAGAAAGAAGACAATCCCTAGAATTAACTCAATTGCTGATAGCAAGACCATCGCAATGTTACCATCTACAACACTTAAATACCGGGAAGATACACCGGAGCAACAGGAAACAGCCATGAAGCATAGCGGGTTTTTTGGTGGAACAAAATTATCGCCATCACCGTCCCAGGAAACTTTGAAGCCTTCAAAACCATCATCGAGAATGCTTTTAGGTGACGACGAGGAAGATGAAGATATCGATTGGCAACCATCGAGTTCCCTCGCCCATAGAAAGAACAGCATATCAGTCACGAAAGATCGATTTCCAAGTCTTAGTACCTCGGACTCTGTTGGTTCGAATGGGGAGCCCTCTGGCATGAGGAGAACACCATCTGGCATGTTTATGCCTTACGAGGAAGACGAAGATGATGTTGTATCTGAAGGACTCTTTGGAAAAGTTGTCGACACTGTAAATACAGCAAAGGACATCGCACATGTCATCTGGAACGTCGGGTGGAGGAGATAATTTCCAAAACGAGATAAGCCTCTGGCTCTCAAATGAGTCTCACTATCATTTCAATTGCGGGAAACCATTAATGATCGAATATAACGTCGACGAATATACGGCGACTTTTGTACATAATACCAAAGCAGATATTTGATGCCTGCATTTACACCGGGTTTGGGAACCACAATTGGGATGTGGTTGGCGTTTGGGATGGGATGGTTTTTTGCTATTCAAGGGGGTTAGGGCTTAGGGGATGATAACCGAAATTGTATTATGGCAATGGGTTATATTATAAACGGCTCGGACAGATTCATCACGAATGAGGGTTGGGCTTTTACTGGGTACAGGAGAGACTGGCTTGTCTTTGGTGATGAGAAAGTATTGGGTTTACATTGTACAATGGGGGATCATGGGGTTTGCGCAAGCACAATATACAATGCACATCACAACGCTGCATTTTCGCTATATCGCGAATCGGTGCAGGGCCTAGAGAGAAGGGCAGAGGGGAAAAGGATTGGCGAAGATTGGGCATATACACCAATACAGTAGTCAACCAGATAATAAATCTACAAACCACCTAATCTTCTGAGCTGAGTGATGATGTGATATGATAATGATATGATTTGAATGATGTATGAGAGAGTGATGAAATGAATGGGCTTTGTTGAACTGTCGTCATTTATTACACAAGATGGGAAGTTTTTGTCGTCTCTTTCTTTCATTCATTCTTTATGTTTGTTTTTTAGGAATGTCATTTCTTTGTCTCATGTTACGCTTCTAGAAACCTCAGAGAGGGGAGGGGGGTCTTTGTCTTTCTTCGATATCTTTTTTTGCATCTAGATCTAGATCGATGATTCGATTGGGTGGGGGTGTATTTATTCTTCTTTTTTAGTGTTTGATTGTATGGTGTAATGTAGTTTTTTTCTTAATTGTAAGACCTAGCCTAACTTTGATACGATCTATCTTATTGCGTTTATTGTACTGAGTAGATGGATAGCGTATACTCTCAGGTAGATAGTGCAAAATACCTACAAGGAAGGAAGGGGAAATCCGGGGTAAGAATGAATTGATTTGAATTTAATATGGGAATGTTTGTTAGGGTGAGGAGTGTAGTTAGATGATACTGTATATGTAACGGGGTATTGGTTGTACTGCCTGCTTGGTATTGGCATAGCATAGCTGTCTATCCGGACTCCGGTACTCAATAGATCATTACCTGTTTGAGTAGTTTTATCCTTGATTGAATCCTAAAAAAAAAAATTTCTTCTCTTTCAAAACAACCTATCTTTCTTTACTTGTATACGAGTATATACATACATATACCCCTTTCATTTCTACTCGAGTATCAATCAGTATTTCGTTCCCCATTTCCATCTCATTCCCCAATTTCATCAATTAATTTCCCATCATTCCCCAATTCTTCCAATTCTCAATCCTCAACTCCCCAAAATTCCTAAATTCCCAATTCCTCACAATTCCCCAATTCTCACATCCATCCATCATGCATGCATAACCACCGATACTCCGCAGATCAAAAATAAAAATCAAGCAAGGCAAGACATCTGACAAGTTCTGACATCTGACCCCTTTTTAAGTTTTACCCCATCCCATCCCATCCCATCCCATCCCATCCATCAGGTATGGGTTTACCCCATTTCATTTCCCATTTCCCCCCAATTCCATCATCCCCCATTCCAACCCCACAAGAAACACACACACACACACACCAGCCCACCAGCCACATATCTTATGGGATAATTAACGATATTACCCATGCCAATAGAGTAGAGAGGGAGGGTTAGGTTAGGTTAGGTTACCCCATAAAAAGGGGATCGAATAACATAACTAGGATTCTCCTTGGAATTCTCTTGGATTCTCTTGGCTTCATGTACAACACATCTCATATCTCAGACTACTAATTAGTAAGACAAGACAACAAGGTAAATCCCCACTCGGAGTACTTCTACCTAAGCGATCACCAATTCCTGCCAAGTTCTTAGAAGGGGGGGTGCGGGGGTGTGATCATGGGTCATTTTTTTAATTTGTGATATATGAAATTCTAGATGGAATAGATTGATTATATGTCAATGTATGTATATATACTAAGTCTTCTTAAGAGAAGTAGTCTATGAATAGATATCTATAAGCAAGTACGAGTACAGTAGATTATATAATATAATCCTACCAAAAACATTAGAGAAAGTAAAGGAAAAGGAAAAGAAAGAGAGAATATATTCCATTCATCCATTTATCACCTTTGTGCATACCTTCTATCCTATCCTATCCTGATCGCCCTAATCTAATCATCTTTCCCCTCAATAACTCCGTGAATCTAGGAACAAGGTACACCCCATCCATAAACCTATCCTAGCCATACTATACCAAACCAAACCAAACCACACCACACCACACCACACCATCATACAACATCATCATAACACCATCATAACAACATCATAACACATCATCATAACATAAAACCATGCCATCATACCATCCACAATAATCCACCACACCCCCAACTCAATCACTCACTCAAAACCTTATATTAGATTAGATCTACCAAAGCTACCTAGGTAACCCAGGTTACCCCTGCCTACCCCTGATCGATGATGTACTGTACCAGTATCGCTACCAGTACTCTTCTCTTTTAGATTCAAGATAGCTGATCAAGTAACTACATAATTAAATGACTAATCAACTAACCAACAAACTAACAAACAAACTAACTAACTAACTAATTCACCTGAACTGATCGGATATCTACCTATACGCCTATACTAGTACTCGAGTACATCTATATGCATCTATCTATTCGTATAACTACCTATATACTCCGAGTCCACTTCTTCCCTCAACACTTAACCCTTAACACTTAACACTTAGCCCTCAACTCTCAAACTTCAAAACTTTCAAATATATTATATTTCAATCTCATATCATATCATATCATATCAATTCATATACACCGTAATACTCAGAGTAATATTGTATTACAGTACAGTAATTGGATGACTGGAATTATGTTGGATATCTACTGTACTGTACTCGAGTAGATGTATGATATATCAAAAACTTTTATTCGTAAATGGAATTATAGTTATTTGTTAATTATTCAATTCATAATTATAAGAATATATACATTTTCCATATATACATCCATCCTATCCTTTGGCTATTGACTACGAGTATGTATCTAGATAATCAAACATCACCAAACTGTATAAACCAGTTTTCGCCTTTATACAACTTTGCTTTGGTATCATTGAAAAAGTTCCCCTAATGTAAAGCATCTCGCTGTGCTACGAAATGAGAGCTCAAATATCAATATAGGTATCTATAAAAGTCTGATATGGATGGAAATCAGGATGAACACAAGGAAGTTGTGATTTGCGGATGAGCCCCTTGGGAAACTCGCTGGATCTTATGGTAGACTAGAAGTACCGAACCATCTGGCCGTGTAGAAGAAAGAAAAGAAAAAGTCCCGTTGATAACAAAGTTGGATATGAAAAGGGAATATACAAAATTACAGTATCCACAGCATCCACAGCATCGTCTCATTTCGTCGTCATCATAATTCGTAACCATCCACCCACCACGTTCCTCTTCAGTCATCAACCTGTAAACCCTGGAGTACTCGTAAATAGCTTGCGATATCTTATCATGCAAAACCCCTGTATGCTTCGAGTAAGATCTAGAAGACGTTGATGTCGGAATCGGTCCTCCCTGAGCTCCCTCTACCATTGAACTACCCCTTCTTCCTTCCTATCCCCAAACGTCAACACCCCATGTTTTCTTCTCTCCCCTAACCACCGCTCAATCCAAATCTTCATCTTCTTCCTGCCCACCTCGCTACCAACATTTACAGTTGGAACTACCTTCTCAATTCTCAACCCCATAATAAACATGGTCAGCTCTCTGAAACTGCTATGTTCAGAATATGGTACTCCAAAACATTGCGCTTCCTTGGTACTTCCTCTCTGAGGCACTAACTCCCCCATATCATATTCCGATCTCCAATTTGCTGCATGTAAAATAGTATGAATGGGCGGAGAATCCACAAAACGAGAGTTTGGTGGTTTGTAACTCCAACCACTGGGTCGAAACCCCACGACCCGTGTAAAATGAGGTTTGTAACCAGTGAGATAGTCCTGCAAAGTCTCAGGCCGTAGATCCATGAGCATCTGCATATGAATTTGTGCCTCTTGAGGATCCGATGTCAAGCGACTCGTAAGTTCAGGGTCTTCCAGCGCTGCACAAATACGCATTTTACCAGGGATTGCGTAGATCTTGCAATCGAGGGCACGGGCGATACCAAGGACAATACGTTCCTTGCCGATACTATAAGTACCACAAACAACAAGAAGACGACCACGAGCTTTCTTCTTGCTTTTGGGGGCACCTTCTGCATTATTGGAATCCTCGGTCTCCGTCTTCGGGGCAGATTTAATGAATTTTGTCATTTTGTCTCCAGCCCGTTCCCTCTTGACTGTTTCCCATGCATCACTTTCTTCTGCGTTCTCCTTGCTGAGACTAACACACATGTCTGCGCAAGCTTTCACGACATCGTCTTGCGATGGAAACGAAAATTTAGGGTTGAGATACGTGGTATCAAGATAACAGACATCAATCTTTTGCTGTTTCGTCTTTCCAGTGACAGACTCGACAATATTAGGCATCAGAAGAGGGTGAGCAATATGCGCCGGACAAGCACGAAAGTCGCCACAATGAAGAATGCGTTGGACCTTTGGGTTCTGGCCGCGACCAGTATTCTTTTCGAAGAAAAAAAGAGAGCTTCCAGGACAATGATTCGCAGGGATCATTGTTACTGAAACGCCTTGAGTATTGGGAACTTCGATCCTGTCGTTAAATTCAATAGAAACAACCCATTTCGGATCCACTCTAAGCTGTTGTTTGACAAGATTGCCGGTGATTTTACTGCAATATATAGGGCCATGTGACCAAGTAGATGTTAGACCAATGTAATGATCGCTATGAAAATGGCTCAGGAAATATGCATTACAGCCTTTAACTGCACCATATCTAAATGCATCAACACAGATGAACAACCCAGGCATGATTTTGTAGAATGGACAAGTCCTCTGATGCGCTGGCTTTCCTCGCGACGACTTTTCTTTGTCTGCGGCCATTGCCCAAGCCGCATCCTCTGCATGGCCTGACATTAGCTTGGAAAAGGCGGATCCTCCATCGTTGTTGAGATCAATAGGGTTCGCCTGTCCCGGTCTCGGAACTGCCGATTTCCTAGCAAACCGGTTTCTGGCACCGTCGGGCATCAGTTTTATTTCGCTTGATTCGGAAGTTACCTTTGCCTTGATCTTTGATGGTAAAGGAATGGGGTTTCCGTCTAAACAAGCATTGACATGCAGCGAGGCCTCATTGGAAGTTATGCTACTCAAACTCGCATCGCAAATAGGGCAAGTAGAAACACTTCCTTGCCCTACATCGGTGTTGAGGCTATCATCGCCACTAAAACCGTTAAATGAATCTTCATCGTCCTGTGCTTGATCGGCGGCTTCCAATTGATTTTGCTCTTCCATCCATTTGCGCTCCATGAATTCTTCACCATCGACAGCCTCATCAGGAAACTCGCCCATAACCTCGAAGTCTGCCCATTCGTCGACACTCGTATTTTCCTGCTTCAAAGCTGGAACCTCTGGAGCTGAGTTGCTCTTTATTTTGCGTTTTGCTTTGCCTTTACCCTTACTATCGAAGTTTTTCGAGCCTTTCGATGTCTCTTGCTCATCGTATTCGGATTCTGACTCGACCTTTTTTTTGCTCTTGCTGTTAAAATACTTTGAACCTTTCGACGTTTCTTGCACCTCATCTTCGGATGATGACTTGGCTCTTGCGCTTCTTGGCTGTAATGCTTCCCATTTCGCTTGTGCTCTCGCAACCGGGACTCTCTTAATCAGCTTGAAAACGCTACCTCCCGAAGATGGAACTGTTTCAGTGGATGGTATGACGGATTTGTTTTCAATGGGCTCTTGCATGACATCAAGTTTTAGAGTTGCCTCTTGCTTCGCGATCAATTCTGGAACGGCCTGTTTTGTATAAACTTCAGTTTGCTTTCCATCCATACGTGTTTGCGCTTGCACATTATGGGCAGTCTTAAGGTTCTCCATTGACCCCTCATCGCTATCGGAGTCGTCTAAGAAAGGTCCTGGCCGGCGTAGTGCTCTGATTGCGGGTTTCCCCTTCGCAATTGGCATAGGGCTCTCGGCTGGAGGAGGAGTACATGGCTCGGTCGGTATTGAAGGTGTGGTGAGGCTTCCTTCGGAATCTTCCATCCTGGGTTTGTCTGAAAGCTTGCGCTTTTTATTCGATCTTTCAGCCTCATTGTAACGTCCATCGAATGACGATTCATTCGCTCCATACAAGTCTTCATCGTATAGTTCTGGACTGGGGTTACGAGGAGGAGGCTGTGGTGTCGCGCCAGACCGGTGATTCACAAAGAGAGAGTCATCGTCTTTGAGTGGATTATCTACCTTCTTGAAAAAGCTCAGAATATTTCCATTCGCTCTTGCTGGTGGTTTCGTTGTCGCAGTTTTTTTCGCCGATTGCTTGTTGAAAGCAGAAGCAATGGAATTCGAGGCGGGTCGCGGAGTAATTGGTTTGTTTGTATTTCGAGGGGCCATTGTAATAGTCTGTGGGGGTATTGAAAGAACGTCGGGTGGCGTAGGAGGTCTACCTGTGGAAGGCTTCAATGGAGAGTATGTAGATCTAGCTGAATTTTCTCGAGGGTTCCGAAACATAATACTTCACAGTTGTGATGTCCTAGAAAAGGTGGAAGGGTTTGCCATCGATATTGATTTGTTCGTTTGCAAGATGAAGGGTGAATCCTCTAAAATCTTTGTCTAAATTGTATCAAGAACAAGACAGCCTTTGGTTAATATTCAATAATTGCCACAGTCCAGTGTTTGTTGAAGGATGAATTAAGTTGTTGAAGGTTTTCTTGAGATTCAAAAGAGTCTAAAAGTGGTTCACTGGCATTGGCCCAATCTCAATGGGATGTCAAGAAACACGAAACACGAAACACGAAAAAACACAACTAATCACGGATAACAAGGTAATTCACGGTATCAGCTGACCCAAAACTTTGCTTATCCGAAGGAGGGGAAAATTGAATGAACATATTTACTTACTGTATATCTTTTTGGATTTTGTGAAAACCATATACTATAAATCCCTGTAAGGTTATACGAGCTAGCTCTATGTGCTCATTTCATTTTGGGAAATATTCAACAACTTAGGGTGAATCTTTGAACTTTGATTTCTTTCCAATGGAACTTATGGCAATTGATGGCCACCGAGCGCGCGCAGATTTGCTTACCATGATAACCTTCATTAATCCATAGAATAGCCTATGGCGGACTATCATAACGCCCTCTTCTGTTGATCATGCCCCCTCCCCCCACTCCTTTCCCAGTATCATCTATAAAGTATATCCTCCTCACGACCCACGAAGGGAAGTATTCACCCCAGCTAGTGTCGCTCTGGATTTGTGCGCTCATTTTCCCTTAGTCGCCTGTTGTGCAGCCTCTCTCCTGGTAGCTATAAATGATCATTAGTTTCCATACGCATTGTTCTGCCAGTACAAGGGACCTACCGTCTTCCAAAAGTGTTGTATCAACTGCGCCACCAGGCAGATGTACGTATCTGACAACACTTCCTCTTATGAAAACATTCTTGACCGATGACTATGCGCGCACCATTAGCATCGCAGAACCCGAAGCACAGAACTCATCGCATTCCATCTCGTTGCTTCCGCCCAAGTTTGATTACTCACCAAATGTGGGTATTTCAGCTCCTCTACCACTTGTATATCGTCCAGCTTAATGTTGAGGTATTGGTCGACCGACTTTAATATGCCTTTGATCTGGATATCGTTCTTAAGCTCGACCGTAACTTCGGAATCCACCAAGGTCTTAAAGAAGCTATTTTTAGAGAACAATCATTAGCTGCTGTGACTTCAAAGCTAGTAATGAAATCGCGCTCACCTGAAGAATAACATCTTAAAAAACTGGAAGCTAGCAGGTAAGTTTTAATGTTGTAGAGACCTTCTGGAGTGCAAAGCCTCAAAAATGGAGTTGACCACAATGAACCAAAAGTGACGATGTCGAAGGATTTTTGGTGCCTTAGGCATTTAACCTTATGAGATGGGCACGGTCCAGAACCTTACCCATGCTAACGCTCTCCTCCCTCAACTCACCTCACCTCACCGGGAGCTTATCCACAGAACCGAAAAGTAAGAAGCACCATGAGTAGGTACCAATGGCAATACGATAACTCTATTTTACTTTTATCATCTAGATGGCGTATCTTCCAGCTATGATCTAAAGTACCTGAAGATCAATCCCTCGAGTTCGGTTTCCGCAAACTTTTACATCCAGTCTATGCAGCAGCGAGTCATAAGCCCCTTGCTTTGCTTAGCAGCCTTCCGAATTCAACGAGGTTGAACTATTCGTGGATTTTGACACTTCTAGAGTCCTCCGAATACCATGAGATATCCTTGAGCTCTTTCTCGGCCTCTATTGCATATCAATGGAACCATCTCCTTGTCCTCTTTGCTTAGTAGCTGTAATACATTTTCCAGCTTTCCATGCTGTTTCTTCATTTTTTTTGGCACATTTCAATTTACATCCTTCTCCTGAATTCATACGTCTCATTAATATTGTAGTAGAGATTACAGTGTATCTTTCTCTCCTGGTGTTGTATCCTACTAGTAGCTCTTAGTATTGAAGGAAGTTGTGGTAATCGAAGCTCTACTGATTGAGTGTTTGCAATATTTGAATGATGTATAGCACTTTTCATTCTGCGGTGACAGTCAAGTATCTAGTATTCAGCAATAATTATTAGTAAAATACTCATTTATCTATACATACTCCAACCTAACCTCCAACAAATCTTTACACATCCTCACAAAACCTCCAACCATACCTACAACCACAACATCATCAAGTACACGCCATCCCCATACCCTAAACGAAACCTCACCGCAAGTGCACGTGTCCCCTCCCCTCCTCATATACATACCCCATTATTACCACAAACCTCTAAGCACCCACACGTCTCGATGGCGCAGCGGTAGAATTCATCATTCTCGAGAATGTTGTCCGCCTTTCTACTTAGCATTGTCAGGGCTTCGAACAGAACAGTGACGGCGTTGCATTCAATATTTGCAATGAATGCAAATCTAATGCAAATCTTGAATGAAACGGCGGGTCATTGGGATTCCAAGGCGTCGCGCCTAGGATTTTGCCATTTTGATGCCTTTTTTCTTTATTTTCTTTTTGGTGTGGGGAATCACTGCTATTGGAGAGATAGATGGGAGGAGAGTGCTAGGGAGATTCATGGTGGGGCGAGGGGAAGGCTTCTTTTTGGACGTTTTTATAGGTGGTCGTTGTTGTGTTGGGATATTTCTTCCCATGCTGTAATTGGTATCAAAAGTCGGAAATTCGAGGGCAAGGTTGGGAAATCTTGTTAGTATTTCTATAGATGCTTATTTGTGACAGTACAGTGATTAATATATCTACTCGAGTACATGGTATTGAGAGAATCACCAGTAGGTGGAGTTGAGTGTGGTCACCCTGAGCAAACTCACGGATACTCTTTTATTCATGTTGTTTGGAGTTATTATATTGTGATTATTCGACTATTTGGTTGTGCGCACTGAGCGACAAGAATGAGGCACCCTTCTCTCTGAAGCCGAAAGCTGAGACCGACAATGTCAATAGTGGATATGTATGTCCTTGGTGTTTCCATCATAGCTTTCTTAATAAAAGGAGTTATTGGGATAATAGAGATGGACGTGTAGTAGCTGAGATGGACCATAAATAAGACCTTGCCTGTGCTGAATGGACAAAAATTCATAGATGTGATGAGAATGGTTGGCACGGCACCAGTCTTTTCTCATCTCCACCATCTGTGAAAAAAAAAAACGAATCATCATACATCACAGCATAGCCACTTACGGCACGAGGATCGCCAACTATGACTTTTTGGGGGATGGACTTGTCATACCTCCAAATATTTATGATATGATTTATTTGATACATATGTATGCTTATATTCGACTCATGCTCATAGTTCCCTATCTCTCTCCCCACCCTGACCACCTTCTCCTATCCTCTCCAGAAACTGCTCCATCCAGTCTTTCTTACCACCATCCGTTTCATAAAATTTCTTCCCATACCATGCCCAACATTCATCACTAACAACATCGCCATTACATTCCTTCTCCCCCTTCTGAACTATATCTGCCTTTGGCCATACTCCCATTTGCGCACCCATGCTTTCGTCCAAGAAATTGTCCATCAAGAGTTGTACAACACCTTTGCGAGCAAGATCATACTCAGGTCCAGACTTTAAGAAGACAGACTGTAGGTACGAAATGCCGTCTTGCTCGATGAAAGACTTTTGGATTAGGGTTGATTTCAATAGGCCACTAAGGGCCGATATTTGAGATTTGAGAGACAAAGGTGAGATGCTCGGTGTTGATAATTTTTGGTGGAGTGCGGGAATGAGACTTAATCCTTTTTCGCGAAGCCTGGGACAAGTAGGTACCATGACGATATCATGAAATGAAGAGAGGGAGGTGGCGGCAGTGGGGTTGTTCTGTAGAGAACCAGAAAGAATTGCGGAGGCCGAACGATCGTTTTCATCTTCGGATCGCAAAGGCTCCATGGCCATGAGGCAAATCAAGGCCGAAACAGCTTCTTCGTCAGCCATGAGTTCCGATCCGTAGTAAATGTCGTGAGACAGCTCAGAAAGAGAAGTCAGTGCTAGATTGAGGGATGCATCTTGTTTCTTTAATAAGGCAAGAGAAGTTCGAAATGAATCGAAGTCAGATGATGAAGGTGGTGGGGGTTGTATCTTCCCGTGGCTACTGTAAGCCGGCGGGCTTGGAGATGGGTGTGGTTCTTCCGAGGGTTTCACTTCGACATCATCAATCACGATCATGGCTTGTTCTGTGGGAATGTGAAGTTCCAGCGCAACATCTTCGCCCTCCATAGGAATGTTGAAGCGAGCTTCTTTCAAGCCAGAGGATATATTTAGCCGAACGTGAAGGCCTGGTGGGATATCTTGCCCAGGCTTAATGATTTGGAAGTCTTTCGTTGGTTGAAAGATTCGGGGGTAACATTCTGCTTGGTTGTCCGTGGGGCATACAAGTTTTGTATCTGCAGATGGTGAGGTTGCTGGGTCGGTCGATAATGCCTTCGCAAATATAGGGAGACCGAGCCATGCTAGGCTTAAGATGCCGTTTATTTGTAAGTGAACCATTTCGAGGTTGATAAAAGAATGAGGTATATATCGAGTACAATATTGCTCCCTTCTCCGATGAGTCCTTCAATCAGTTACAATTGATAGAATTCGTTTGGCTTTTCTTCTGAACCGTCGGAGGTTTCTCCGCTGCCTTTCTGCCAGCTCGAGGTCTTCGCAGGCTTTATCAAAAGCTTTCACGTCAAATGGGTGAACCTTTCCTTCTTCTTGACTTTGTTTTTCAATGAACCACTGATCCAAAACCCAAGGGTGATTTTCAAAGCAAGCTTTCCCTTCCCAGCTCGATCGTAAAAGAGGACAGTCTTTCCACTTCACGAGATACCAAATGTGGTTATTCTTCCCCACTATATCAGTGAGTATCTTTTCGGGAGGTGGTTCTTCAGAATCACTTTCTAATGAGGCAAGAGATTCTGCCGAACTTGAGTCTTCTGCTTCACTCTCTAGGTTTAAACCTTCAATATGGACAAGCTGATCTGTTAGGTTATTTGTAGTCATCGTAAGGACAAGTGGCATCCAAATTAGTACAGATCCGTTCGTTCATTTTGGCTTCGCCTTTGGCAATATTTTCAAAGCGGAAGGCGGTCACGCTGAGATATCTTTAGTGCTAGGAGGATACATTAGTCAGCAAATGTCAGCAACGGGAGGGACGTTCAAACATACCGGCTGCCCAAAAAATGATAATACTGAAACCCAATTGATTCACAACAAAATGTTTGCACTCAGGAGAAAGGCAGTTCAATCTGCCGATCGAGTTGGAAGAGTATCTACTCGAGTTTCGCGACGATGGTCCTCGGCAGAACATGGAAAGACTGGTGATGAGGTCCATCACTTCGCTGGATCGAGTACAGAACATGGGCATCATCATGCTGGTCCAAAAAACGAGTCGTTTGGAGTGAGCTCTTAAATATACTCCACATAGAGCCCACGACTAACGACAATACAGGCTAGTTTCTTCGTTGTTCTCGCGGCTATCCCCATCTCGATCGGATTTTACCAATACGCCCAACCATCCGCCGACGGAACTCTCTCTGGCCTCACGAGGTTGATCCACAACTATTCGCAATATAAGGAGAAATGGGCCGCAAGAAATAACCTGCACGTTTCTATGATCGAGCAAGCTGCTTTCGATCGCAACCTTTTCCAGAGTGACACAGGCAGTGCACATATCAACCTTAGATTCCCCGAGTTGGTCCACTGCTCGAATACCTTCCGATCCAATAGCTAATTCCCCTATAGACAATTCAACACTGGATCACCATGGAATGTACCAGCAGGCCATAGAGCTAGGAATATGGACCAGTTGGTAGCACATTATGAGAAATTCAAGAAGGAAAGCGAGGAGAAGAAGCGTTTGGAGACCGAAATATAAAATACCCGTACATATTGCTTCAAAGAAAGTCTCTCATTGAATATGGTTTACACTCGTTCTCATCTGCGGTTGCCAAGCTGGTGATCAAAGCTTGTGCAATCATGAAATCATACCCACGCCTGGCGGGCGGCTGAGTGTGACTTTCTATTTGGAGCACAGCCATACAACATTGCGGATTTTAAACAAAGCTCCTGCAAAAGGCATTAGGAAGAATTCAGTGTCGCCGCGATTAATTTGAAATATCCCTTGAGCTGGGGCCGGTCTTGGTTGTCAAAGTTGCTTCTTCCTTACTCTAATATACCTGGGAGCAGAACCTAATAATTCCCAGCGAACTCCAGATCCTAGATTCTATCCCCAACTCCAGAAATACAAATGAGCTTGCTCGCAACTGCTTTCGTTCCCCTCAGATCTTACTACCTAGATGCATGTGCCTCCCTAGTCCCACCATAGGCAGGGCCCTAACCCAACCTCTTCCATCGAAGCTACTATCTTATAAGGGGCTTCAATCACTCGTACTGATTCCTCATTATCATCTTGTTTTTCGGGGCCCAATGGCGCTTGATCATTCCATTGCTCAGAGTCAATTCGGAATCGCACCGTTTCCTGGTTATCGAAGAAAAGCTCTGTACCCTCTTCGGTGCTCCAGACAAAAACTTGCTCGTTGTGGTTACTGGGTGATGATTAGGGTGGGTATGGAGAAGGAAGCGAGGAAGCAGACTTACAAGTGTGAACCATCGGGTAGCATTTTTGCGGGGACAAAGATTTCATCGAAGAAATGAGTACGAACTTAATGTTGTTAGCAGACCTCAATATAACTGGCATATATATACCGACCTCTAATTCCACTCTCAATAGAGCTACTGATTCTCCCTGTCATGATTTCAAATTTAAAAGGTCGGAAGACAACAATGCGAAATTCGACTGCTAGGTGGTTAGCAAAATTTAAAAGCAGTGATGACTCCCAGGGACTATATACCATTGACATTCACAAGACCATCACCATGTCCAATTAAACCTTCCGAGGCTGAGAGAAGATCATAAAAGCTTATACAAAGACCAATTTTTTGGATCACTTTGTTGGCATATTTAAGATTGATATTATCCTCAATAGCTTGACTAGCATTCTTCCCTAAATCTTGCGGTGCGATTTGAACCAAATCAGCAATTTTTGTCTGTCAAAATATGTTAGAATTTGAACTTTATAGAGATGGGAAGTACTCACGAGAATAAACATGATGATGATGATGATGATGATGTGATTTTGGTCACTCTGGCTAGGTCAAGAATTGCTTTTGCTTTTCTTGTTGCTTTGCTTCTTGTGTTTTGTTCCTTCCCAAGTAACTTTTTTATGCCTGATTCTCCAACAAGCCACCAAATAATATTATGATGATATTCAAGAGAAGAGAGACAAGAGCAAAGAGAAAAGACAATATTGTGACTAAGGATGGATTTCAGATTATCGAGATTGGGTTGCTTGCTTCCTTCCTCTGATATTCACTTGTGTAGCATATCAAACAAGATCCAATCTTTTTCCAACCAAATCTGTTCCTTCTTATTCCTCCCTAAACCTCGATAACTTGATCTTGATTCTTGAAAACTTCTTCAAAATTTTCATTAACAACTACTGTTAAAAAGAACAAGTACAGAATTATTCTTCAACTATTAATTTTTTTGGTTTTCATAAGATCTTTTCACATAATGACTGATCAACCGACCAAAAGGAATACTTACCTAAGCCGAATTCAATAAGATTGGGAGCTTTCTATTGGTCAATATTGTGTCGACTAAATTTACCAAGTTTCCACATTAAAATTAACAAGTAGACCCGGATCATATTGTATCTCCGACCGAACAATGATGGCTCAAGGCAAGCTTTCTTTTTCATGTTGCTTCATCCTCCCTTTCCAATAAATTGTTTCCCATCGAGCTATTCGCTTTCACCCTCTCACCCTCTCACCCTCTTACCCTCTCATCCTTCTATCAATTAATAGATACTAGGTTCATCATCATCAGATCCGATATATCTTGATTCTAGTCCAGAGCATCCTTTTGGTCAATACGGTCAACCTAAGTTAAACCAACCTGCACAAATCCTTTCGCGACCATCAAATTTGAAACCTTTCACTGTTCAAGACAGTGAACCACCTAACATCTACCAACCTACTAGTCATCACGGTAGTCATCACAGTCAAGTTGAGATTCATCAACCTGTACAAAACACATCCCAACATTTGAATCTTTTAAGTCAATCTAAGATTTGTCTACCGGCACAAAATACTTCGCAAGCCCAAAACACTTCGCAAGCCGCTGGTCAATACATTCAACCTAAGATTCATCAATCTGCACACAGAAATCCAATTGTGGAGATTTCCCGACCATCTGAAATCCAAGGGCATTCCATTCATCAGGACATTGAACGAATTAAATCAAAGGTTCAACAGCTACAAAACGCGTCCACTGGTCAATACAGTCCACCTAAGATTCATCAATCTGCACACATAAATCCACTTGTGGAGATTTCCCGACGACCTGAAATCCAAAGGTATTCCGTTCAGAAGTACATTGAACGAATTAAATCAAACGTTCAACAGCAACCCGTACAAAACGCGGTGCGATTTCCAAACACGGAGCTTTCCGCTAGTCAGCACAGTCAACCCAGAATCTCCCAGCCTGCACAAAACGTTTCGCGATCCCTAGGCGCTCAGATCACAATGGCCGGTGCACAGCAATATAACTTTCCTCCTCCTCCGCCTCCCCCCTCTGGGCCACCTGTTGGATATCCTCAACAAGCTCCTCAGTATGGATATCAGCAACCTTCTCCATATCAGCAGGCGCGCAACAACGGTCTTCCAAGAGGTGGTGCGAGAAGCGGCCACAATGGTCCCCCTCATCCACACCAAAATGGTTATAATGGCCCACCACAAGGTCTTCCGCAATTACAGGGTCCTCCCAGTGATCAGTACAACCCGCATAACCCGGCACCTTACATAGGACCTCCAAGCGGATCTCAAGGTCCTGGTCATAATGGCCCCCCCAACAATTACCCTCAGCAATGGCAGCAGCAAGGACAAGGTCAACATGGCCCGCTTCAGCATAATCACGGACCGCCTCAGCAAGCACACCAACCACCACATCAGCCACCGCCCCCCGTTCCTCTTCCTGCTCAGAACTACCATCCAAATTATGCTCCACAGGGCTTCAATCAACCACCACAGTATGGTCCACAGCAACCTGCACCGTTTCAACAACCTTACGGACCACCTTCTCAGCAACCACATCACGGTGTTCCGGCCCAACAATGGCAAGGTCCACCTCAGGGACAACCTCAATTCACCAATAACAATAGAGGTCGTGGTCGCGGTGGTTTCAATAATGGTCGTGGCGGCCATGAAGCACCTCTCATGGGCCCCCCAATCCGCATGGGATTTGATAACGAACGTGGAGATCATATGGCTCAAGCGGGCAATGGTTTCCCCCCTCCCCAATACTCCAATCATCAGACCCCCCCTACTCCGTTTTCTCAGCCAACCTATCAAGCGTATCCCCCACAAAACTTCCCTAATGGAGGTCATGGAGGACAGCGTCCACCACATGACCCTCATTCATTCAACTCGAGCTCTAATCGGGGCAGAGGAAATGGGAATTTTAGAGGTAGAGGTCGCGATAATTTCCAATTTCGTGGTCGCGACAATGCTCGTTCTTTCAATGGCAATTCCCAATCTCCTCCGATGCATTCAAAGCCTGCAGGTGTAGGAGACAATGCGAAGAAGAATAAGAAGAAGCGTAGAACAAATACCCTTGGCTTGACACCAAACGGTGTAGACCATGAGGATAGCGATGATGAAATTGATGACGTTGATGAAGAAGCTCGTTTGGTTACTTTGCTTGGTCCCGATACTCCACAGTATGTTCTTTTGCAGGCCTGGAAGATTAGTTCTTCTTGTTCTTATTGCTAATTAATTTTAGGTTACCTGCAGATCTCAAGGCATGGCTCGCTGAGCGTAAGAATCGCTTCCCTACGAAAGCTCGTAGAGAAACTGCTGCTGAGGAGCTTCGCTTGAAACGTGAGCAAAACCAGAATAAGAATAACAAGGTCAAGAAAGAGGCCGAAGCGAAGCCTGTCAAAAAGGATGAAGGAGAGACCAAACTCGAGAAACAGCAACGCAAGGCCGAAAAACTGAGACTAGAACTCGAGAAGGCTGAGCGTAAGATCAAACAGGAGATGTCCGGTGGAAAACGCAAGCGTGAAAATGGCGACGAGGGTGATGAAGACCGTGGTCAAGTGAGCGATGATGATTCTGATTCATCCAATTCAGACTCCGAGAATGCAAAGCCGGAAGCCATGTCATCGCGCAACAATAGTCACATCGTGCATGCACGAGCACCACCAACAAAAGCTCAGCTTCAACGTCACTGCAAGTACTATTCGACTGGTGGTACCTGCGGTAAGAAGGGCAAGTGTCGCTTCGTTCATGACCTGGAGGTCCGTAACCAAGCATTGAGAGAGAAGGAAATGAACGGTGGTAAGATGACCATTGCTCAACGTCTCATTCTTAACGACACCGCCAAGGATGACTTGACCATCTTGAAGTCTATCAAGTACCTCAAGGAGAAGGGTTTGATGCCAGAGTCGTCCTCTGTTAGTGCACCACCAACAGATGAAGAACTCAAACCCGAGGAAGCCGATTACGCCGATGCACCTGAATATGGAGAGGTTTAATCTTTGTTGTGAAAGCCATTTTCCAGGATCCAATCGATTACAAGCTGTCGCACCTCATGCACTTTCAGCACCTTCTCGATATGTACTTGGTAGTCACTTTGGCGGAGCAGATTGAGAAGATCAAGGACAAGATGTTATTTGATGAGTTTGACGTTCTCACCTTCACCCACTTCTACCGACTACATGCGAGTACTCATCGAAAGTCTGGTTCCCCATACATTTATGCTTGGTAGTCTATCCCTTGCAATTCTTGCTCTGTATCTCCATTTAACTGATTGGGGAGGGACTGAGGGAAAGTTGAGAAGGTTCTTTCAACTGTACACTTCTACAACCCTTCGAGGCCATGACTCTGTTGGCTCAGCATTTTTCTTTGTTCGCGCTGGCTCTTCCTTGTAATAGTTTCATTTCATGCCAGAAAAGCACACAATCTTTCCTATCATGACCTTTTCTTTTCAACAAAGCCCACCGCAAATACTTTACTTGTCACTATTGTGCGAGTTCATATGCCGATGAGTCCGGACAAGAGTCTGATGGCAAGTTTGCTGAGGGTGCACCAGATTGAATGTACTATAGTTTCCGTGGTATTGTGTGAAGGAAAAGTGCCAGTAAGCATAAAGTTAATTAATTAGTCTAGAATATGAATTTATAAAAGAAATAAGCTTTTCATGCAAGTAAACTTGCTGTAATAGACAAGCTGCCCGGTGGCTCATGAATGTAATGACTCTTTTTTAAAGAGAGACATACCTAGCATGCAACATGACTGAGTTAATTACGTACCTAAGCAGGCGTGTTCTTCACCATTCCATAAACCAATCAAAGACAAATGCTTATCTTTTGTGAATGCTAACTTTCAGAGGAGAAGATTTCTCTTTTCCCTATTACCTGGCATGTAGATGAATCCATGACAAGAGGAGTTTGCAAGATGCACAAAGTCGGATTCGGGTAAGCAGAAACGAATTTTTCCTCTTCTAATCATATGTTGCATTGCTGCTACATGAAGGTTTTCCGGAAATCTGGACTGACTTACTTGCTGGTCCTGGCTCGGAAGAAAGGAAGAAAGAAACAAAACTCGATGTTGATATGAAAAGATGCCATGTGAAAATGTGGCATGTGAAATAATATCACTTTTAGTTTAAATTTCTAATTTCGATATGAGTATGAGTATAAGTGAGTACTTTACTCTTTATTGTTGTGTTCATCAGAGGCTGTGCAGGAATCCTTTTGATAAAGTGTTGGGAGCATTGGAAGCATTAGGATATGATAAACAGCATTAGGAGATGAATGATAAGATTACAATAAATTAAATTAAATTACGATAGGGCTGATTTATAGAGTACCGGTAGTTGACCAGACTCACTTATTCTTATCTTATGAACTGGTTTTCTTCTAAATTGGGCTCGTATGTTCCTTGTATCATGGAGATGGAGATTTTGATGAAGGTCGATGGGGTGCTGATTTTGTGTTTGTGTTTGTGTTTGTGTTTGTGTGTATGGTATGGAATGTATGTTTTTGGAAATTGGCACTGATGGTTGGGGTTGTGGATGTGGATATTATAATCCTCTCGGTTTTGATCTGGAAAATGTTACTGCAAGGGTTCAAGTGTTGTGGGACGCTTATTGACTTGGATTTGTTGGCTTGATGGGAAGGGAGGAGGTGAAGAGGTGAATATTGTTGGAGAGATTTTGGATGGTTTTCAAGAGAATTTTGGCTTTGCCTCGATTTGAGATATTGAATTGATACAATACCGGTATACTGAATTTATTTGAGAGGTCCAATTCTTTAGACATTATACTAAACCATACGTTCATCCTAGAACCTGGGATGGGCATGACTGACATAGAGGTATGATCTACCAGCTCAAGAAGCAGTAATGATGCATAACAAATGGAAGGGAGGAGATTGAAGTAATTTATACATCTATATACTGAGTATTTATACTCGTACATTACAAATGGAAAATACTCATAATATACTGTAGATGCAATAAAGTTTAAACCCAGACCACATCAGAAAAAACATCATACTGAAATCCATCCAACCGCTGAGATATCCCATATAGTCTTGAAAAAGGGAGGCCCACGGAGAAAATTTGACAAAGTCGTTGGAGATGGACTGTCACATTATGGCGCTTTGTAGTAACACAAGATACAAGCATGACACTGATGTTCGTACTATGATCGGATGCGATGTAGAATTTTTCGATCTCGCCAATAATCTTTCACGTGCGTATATAGATTTATTTTAATGACGGTCGTTGATCTAAGAAGGTCATTGATAGAAGAATGTATCAACTACTCAGCTAATTAGATGTGCTTTCCTTCTCGTCCGGGGTTTTGCAATGGGATAGCCAATCTCTTTGCTGATAATTTGATACGCTCGTATTATCATTTCTCATCGTAAATACTATGTATGTATGTATATGTATAGGACGATCAGATATCAAGTCAAAGCCTGGACTGAAATCTGCCTGGGGCCCCCTGCGTGCATACTCGACTAATAAATAATAACTTTTCCCTCAAATCTTCGAATGCCTCAACGTTAATTTCATCATAGTAATCTACGAATTTTTGAATATTTTATGAAATGCTTCTATCAACTATAGTATCGAAGAGATGAAGGAAGCTTACTGCGAGAATTTCCACACATCCAACGGGAGCCAACTATATTAGGTATATCCAATGACTTATAATTCAACATAATACATACCTACATACTAACCCTATCACCAACCAAGAGAACATCAGATTTCAGATTACGAATTCAACATCATAACATCCAGCCAGCCAGGATTCATCCGTCGCTCTCAACACATTCTCTATCGACACGATGGAATGTCGTCCGCCTCGTCCCAATGTACGATTGAGTCAATAAGCCTATTGTGTATCTTATTCATATTAGGCTCTTCTAGATCAGCCATGATATACTACTCATTCACCTACTCAAATTTATGATGATTCTGGAATGAGACAAGATTGGACTGGCATCTTAGCCTATCAACATTGAAGTTGAGAATGTAGGAGTGTTCGGTGTAATGTCAGCGATAGAGTACAGTGAAGATGTACGTGATGGTATTATGTACACGTATGATAGATATATCTGTTCAAAATTGGTCTATTATCTTGTTTAGGAATCGTTGTGTTATAGGGAGAAGGAAGAGGGCAAAGGGAAAGAGAAAAGGGAAAGAGAAAATTGAAGGAATTTGCGAGTACTCTTGTGAGAGCGAGGCGTAAAGACATTTTGTGCTCGCGGAGAACGAGGGCGATATATGAAGCATAGCATTGAGATAGCCAGAAATCAGTGTAAACGCAATGTGGTTTTTGCCCAGTGCTCTGAATTGTCAAAGTGAAGTAAGTCAACCAATCGCAGGTAAACGGCGGGAGTAACTATGACCCAACCTAACCCTAAGATGGTGGTAAGAGGAGATCTGGACGCTCACACTGCCTCATAGTAATCCCTTTGTGATGTGATCGTAACAATGTTAAGTTCTTGGTTATCCTTAAGAAAAAGCCCAGTCGAGAATCGAGATCAAGAACATTGATTTCAATTTGAACTTCAAAATCATTCTTATTGTTACGTTCTTCATAACTTCAAGGCAATTGAGCAGGTGTTTGTATGCATTTCATTAGATCCAATCGCTATCACCATCACCATCGCCACCATTTCTTATTTTGTCAATATATCTTCACTTACTCCTGCTTTTCCTGGCCTTGAAGCAAAGCGATACTAGCGCACTCACGACTTCCTGTCGCACATCTATCGATTCGAAGAATCTCTCTTCTTCGTCATTGGAACATCATCATGTATCTCATTTCTTAGAATCCGTTTCTTGAAATCCAATTGAATACGCGTGGTAAAATGATTGAAAATATCGAGATAAATGCTCACTGATGTTTTTCTCTCCACAGGTTCGACTACAAAAGGGCGACCCGTCTTCGAATCTTTCGTATTTTTTCGCATCTTTTGAGGCGAGATTAACATTCGTCGTCAGCTCGTTTATCTGCCAGTGCAGCTAATGCAGTTCAGCATAGTTCAGATGAAGGTTCAATACCATTTTCATCAACTACATCATCTGTCATATTTACAGGCGCTTTTGTTGCTTGCCCACCACCGTCTTTGGGCACCAATAATAGTGTAAAGTAACACTCACATTTGTAAATGGCATAAAAATCTCCAGCCTGCTCAGAAGATAGGGAAGATGATATCTGCCAGAAGAAAGCGCCAATTTGAAGATGATTTGACCAAATTATGGCCAATCGCGTTTACATCTGTCTGCGGATGGAAGGAGCACAGTTAGTTCAGTCGGCAAGGACGGCAGTAACCTCATCACTCGACACTTCGGATGTAATAACTATGCGGATTCAAAGGAAAGTCCAGTCACTGGTCATAAGTATGTAGACGTCTATATCAACCAATCGGTTCATGTAAGAGCATCTGATGTCTCTCGTTCAACTGCCAAGCACGCGAACGGAATCGAAGTATGAGTCTACGGAGAATAAGCTGCCAATACATCAAGCTAATGTACAGCGCTGTAAGGATGCATATTTGCTTGATTGTCGTGCATGTAGCGCTCTGCAGTATGCAGAAGCCCATGGGCGTGGGATGACAAGACCATGTGGGTTATTTTGAAACCTCGGTCACGCCGGTCTCAGGAACACATACCCTGATTGATTAAGCCAACGAGCTGCGGTGATAGGCGTTCGCACCCTCCAACAAGCCTCACGCATGGCTTGCTCTTGGCGATAAACAAGAATGCCAAAATGTGCCACAACCGCGATGCATTCACGCCACCAAAGTGATGGTGCAGGTCATGTAATGGGTGGAAGGAAGGAACCGCACTGTCGGGTATATCAGATGAAAGGAGACATCCACCTTCGTCTTACCGTGAGAGACAGTTTGCGAGAGGAGGAAAGTACGCTTTTGATGGACGTCTCGCGTTTCAAGGCCTATGCACGTGGGACACAAAGCTTCGACAGGATTACCTAAGCGTGAATGGGGTCGGCTAACATTTTGACTGGATTCTCTAGGCTCTTGTTGACGTTGTCTATGAATAGTCCGGCCACCGTATCGATACAAGCGATACAACTTACAAGGGGACTGGTTCACCGATATTCCCAGAACATGCATGCATCATAGAGGCCCCACCTAGCCGCTAGAACCAACGCTTAATTTCAAATTCCGAGAAACCTGTGAGATGTTGAGAGACAAGAACGTGTTTCTTTCTCGCAACATGATTGGCCCATTCCAACCTCATCTTTCAATAATGAAGGGCAACTACCAAATCTTTCCGTTACATTCGGGATGAAAGTCCGCGAAGTTCCTTTCATGCACAATTGTTGCCACGGACATGAAAGTTTCAATAGAGAAATCTTCGATTTTAAATGTGCCGGCTTGGAAAAGCTTGTAGTGGTTGAAACTCGACACAATGGGCTGAAGAAAAGATCATTGCGGCAACGACAAACCTTTGTGATATCCAAAAAATTATCACAGAGTGATATCTACATATAAAATAAGTTATCTGGGGCACCCGCAAATACGGAAGAGCTATTGATACTCACCAACGGGGGATGGGTCACAATATGAATAATAGTAATCTTGATAGGGCAGCAGGTAAGTGGAGAAGAGAAATAAGGGCGTTTTCAATCTTGACTAGAAGCATGACAAAACAAATCACAATAATATTAAGGTATCCCGGGTAGCATCCCAGGCGAATTAATTCCATCAAAGAGTGTTAAGATAATGGATCCCAGGAAGTGGACACTCAAGTATGCTCCAGCCTCCAAGAGCAGAGCAGACGACCTCAAAAGGCGACAGTGGCTCCCTCTGTGATATACAAATTTGAATATCAGTACCAATATCATAAAGAGAGGGGAGCACGAGTACATTTTCATCAACACAGTGCTGTAACTAAAGCATTAACTTCATCATTTCTGAGTCCAATTTCATATTTGTAACATTTGAGATGACAGGATTGACAAAGTCCAAGGACTGCCTAGGTTATGTTGGAATGCCGTATGGCCGGACTATACTCGTACTGGATCATGATTTTCAATCATCAATGGGATGTTTAAAGTAGTATCTTCGGGGTAAAAGTCATAGTACAGTCTAGATCAAGAATTAGTTACTGCATCTATAACCGAAAGCGATTAGTTGTACTTGGAGAGAGGGGCCAGGGGGGAGGAGGGGGGGGGGAGGAACTCGAAGGCTATTTGAAATTTGATACTGCATTATCAAAACTTATTCTATGGCTAAGAACTATTTTTCCAAGAATAAATCCGTTCTACCTAGATATTTACCTATGAGATCAACCCAAATTACTTACCTAAGTCACGGTTGAAATCTATATCACAACCAAACAAAACGTCATATCATCCATTAACCACTTCATTTCGTCATTCATTATTCTTCAATACTCCTCCATCCTATTGTATTATCATAGTCCTTTATTTGATCTCAATCAATTTTCAATTTAAATCACATGAATTTATGAAATGAAATTAGAAGGAATGTTTATTATATTCTCGACCCATCACATTGGATTTTCGTAACATGTGTCAAATAACAACCGGTACAAAAGATATTCGCTCCCGCCCCAGCCATACAAGTTATTAGTTGTAACTCAACAACTAACTCAGCTTGATCCGACGGAAATGAATGTACTTAAAGTAACTAAAACCAATACAAGTTACCTACTCTGTACATGGATTCTCCTCGGTTCCTTGAAATCCAATTTACAAGTTATAAACCCCACTTCGCCCCGCCTCAAAAGTTCAATGCCCCACTTCGGAGTACTTCCTACTCTATCCAGTTTTCTTGCTACTAATCTAGTTATAATATACATGGACTACCGTAGTAAAAATAATCCCAGGAAAGAAAGACACCCGCGTTCCTGGCTGGCAGGTCTTATTATTATTATTCTTCTTATTTAGTTGATCTCCCGCCGTTTTGCCCTTTTCTTTTCCCTTTCACTCACTTCAGTCAACTTTCTTCATTCCCCCTTCATTGCTTCGGATAAGGGCTTCTGCCGTCGAATACCTCAATACCTCGTCAATTCATAAAAAATGGCGAATCCAATTCACGCCCACGAGCACCATAATCCTACCAACATGGGTATCATTGGTCTTCCTCATGGTCCGGAAACTGGTGATGATCATGTGTCGATATATGATATGGGAACCGATGAAGAGATTTTCAATGAGGTCCTTTACCCCGATGACATTTTCACCGAAGACCATGTGTATTGGGCAGATCTTAAATTAAAGGACAAAATCTCCTTCATCACCAGGACTGAGGGAGCAGACGCAAAGGAAGAGCTAAAGTCGATTTGGGCAATGATGAAAGTGGACCCCCTCAGTCCTGTCAGTTGGTACTTCAGCAATGCTGTTCTCCCAGGTGCTGGTTTGGGTCTGGAAGGGTATGTAAATCTTACTGATCTCCATTTGCCACGCTAATCATGATGTCAGATATGTTCTCTTCTCCATCGGAAACTTGGCACCCCTCTTCTCAGCTGTTTGGCCACAATGCTGGAAAACTTTCGAAGTTTGCAGTGAGCAATGGACCTATGCCGTCACTTATTTGGAGATTATTGGTATTATTGTTGGTCAAATCCTTGTCGGGTACTTGGGTGATAAGATTGGTCGTCGTTGGGGTTTGATTCAAGATGCCGTCATCATGTTTCTTGGTCTCATCATGCTCATCGCTTCTTGGGGTACAACTCTCAACGGCTGGGTCATCTGCTATGCCTGGTCATTATTCTTCTACGGCATCGGTGTAGGCGGTGAATATCCAATGACAGCCACTGCTGCCATGGAAAGTGCCACTGCACCAAATCGCCGAACGACTAAAATGGACCGTCTTCATCGTGGTCGTAAGGTTACTATGGCCTTCCTGATGCAAGGCTGGGGTCAATTTTTTAACCAAGCCATTCTCATCATCTTACTCCTCATTTTCCATCATGGAAGCGGGAACCCACCCTATTCTCAAGTCGCTGCACAATGGACATTCCGAGTCTCTTTCGCCATCCCCGCTGTCGGCACTTTGTGGCTTGTTTACTACCGTATGTTTAAGATGCCTCTCATCTCAAAATCACTAGATATGGTCAAGAAGACGACAAATGTCACTGGATACGATAAAGAGTCTCTGACCTTAACCGTCAAACATTTCTCGGGACGCTTGATTGCTACAGCAGGAGCCTGGTTCTGCAACGACGTTTTCTTCTATGGCAACAAATTGTTCCAGTCCCAATTTATCAAGGTCATCTCCCCAGGTTCAACATCAATCATGGAAGGATGGTTATGGAACTTGGTCAATGTCGGAGTGTCCCTTGCCGGTTATTATTGTGCATCGTTCCTCATTGACAACAAGCTCTATGGACGAAAGTGGATGCAACAAATTGGATTTTTCTTGGATTTCATTCTCTTCGTTGTTCCAGCTTTCCACTACACTTATTATACTAGCATCGCTGGCATTAAATCTTTCCAGGCCATGTACTTTTTGTCATCCTTCTTCAACCAATTCGGTCCAAACAGTGTTACCTTCCTCGTCGCTGCCGAAGTTTTTCCAACACCCATTCGTGCCTCTGCACACGGGTTTTCGGCAGCTGTTGGTAAATTGGGTGCCTTGTTCGCATCGGTACTTTACAATTTTATCTCAACCCAGCAAAAGTTTTACATCGTCCCATGGTTCGGTCTTGCCGGCATGATCCTCACCTTTATCTTCCTTCCAGATACCACTGGTCTCGATCTCAAGGAACAGGAAAGAAGATGGAAATATATTAGATCTGGTAGAGAGTCCGAGTATCATGGTATTGCCATTCACCCAGCTCATTTATCCCTCTGGGAAAATTGGATGGGCGCTGGCAAGAACTACGACCCTAAGCTTGATGCCGGAGACAAGATTCTTGAAATGCGCCAAGAATGGGAACTCAAGCAAACTGAGAAAGGCAAGAATGAAGAAGATATCGCAACCTTTGATGATGAGTGGAGTCAGGAAATTCACCAATACTTCCGTTCCGACAACACCCCAACACGGAATCGAGTGCCTCGCGTGGAGGCGACATCGGAATCTACGAGCGATGAGATTACAAGAGAGAAGTAGCTGGACATCCGTTGATGTTTCGGTTTTCCATGGCGTTTTGGGTGGTGATGGGGATGGGAATTTCCCCCAGATATATATGCACATACAACTTGATGTATAGGATTTGCAGAAGTTATTTGTATATATAGATGCTTATAAGACCACACTCACTGGCTTGCATGGCTTGATTGGAATGCGACATATAGAAATTAATGAGAAGATTTATGGATTTACAAGATATATATTGTCCCAACGATTTAATAATGCTAAATTAATGTGAATGTGATTTATTTATTAGTAAATTACTCTCATGTCACTACTCGTAGAAATGAATTACATTATTCTTATACTATGAGTACAAAAACTTAAATAATATCTATTTTATTTTTATACTACTTAGATTCTATAAAGGAATCTATAATGAAAGGATAGATTCTATAATACTCGTAGAAGAGATAGAATCTATAATAGAAAAGTAGAATCTATAATAAAAGTATAGAATCTATAATATAGAATCTAGTTATTTGAGATTAGATTTTAAATAGTATAAGAATAAAATGAATTCGATTTTCATAATATAAGACTCGGAATGTTTTAATTCACTTTTTATAGTATACGAAATTGGCTTCGGCCTCTTTAGGGCCTATAAGCCCTAAAGAGGCCTTCATCTTCACTTATACTATATAGTTATA